CTCACTGTCTCAGTCGCTGCATGCTGTAGTGTAGACACAGCAAGTGATGGTAATGACGCCGTTTAAAATAACCACGTTAATAAAAAATATTTCTTTCTGTAACGAGCAAACTAATTAATTACCTTCTTCTTTTAACAAAACGATTGTTTCTGTTACTGATAAGGAAATGCGTGCGTTAAGCTGCGCAGTGTGTTGAAGCTGTCATCAGCTGATCAGGAGCTAAAGAGGCAGATGTTTTCATCCAAGAGCATCACGACCCGTGAAGAACGAGGAAGACGTGATGAATATCTACGGCTGCAGACCCGCAGATTCGCTGCTGCAGGTGGGAATTTGCAGCAGCGAATCTGCGGGTCTGTAGCCGTGCCCTTCTTAGCGTGACAGCGGGACGTCCCGAAGGTCTGCTCACCTGTCCACCGCTCATACGTCCTGATCTTCTGCCTTCCTAGATCATCCAGCTGTAACCTGCTTCTGATCATGTCTTTAGTCCCGCTGTAACACTGATGCATCAGTCTCAGACGTCATGGAGCTCAGGTGTTATCAGAACTACCTGTGTGTGTTCACCACCCAGCTTCAGCTCTTCTGTGGTTGGGTCTGACCCATGTTAGTACATTTAAGTCCTCCATCAGATTTGTGCCTCTTCTAGTGTCATTTTAAAGGATATTGATTTATTTAACCATCACTAGATTAGCAGCAACAGAAATGCTGCTAAAAACACACAATTATGTGAAGCTGGAAAAATTAGAATACTGTGCAAAATTACATTTATTTCTGTAATTTAACTAGACCGAGATACCATTTAAAGGCTCGGGAATCTTTACAGGTGTTTCTATTTGCAATTTTAAATGTTAGCTGATTGGGGTCTTGTTAAATATCACACAGTGACCTTTTAATAGTCTAGATAAGTGTAATGTTCCTGTTAGTAGTTCCCCCTGTTAAGTGCTTATTTATTTAAATTATTCAGGTTAATAAAAAACATTTGGACATACATTTTATTATGTTCCAGTCATTAGTCATTTATATTTTACTATTGTAGTAATTCTTGCATTCTTTAATGAAAAAAGTAACTAAGTAGTTATTTTTGTTGGTAATTAGTTACTTTTATGATCTTTTTGACAAAGTAATCAGTAACTATAACTAATTACTTTTTTAAAGTAACGTTCCCAACACTGAAACTGACAAGTTAAAGAAAATGCAGTGGTGATCTGAGATATCAACGTCCTCAGGACAACACTGTCAGCATTTACAGGTGCTGGCCAGTAAATTAGAATATCATCAAAAGGTTGAAAATATTTCAGTAATTCCATTCAAAATGTGAAACTTGTACATTATATTCATGCAATGCACACAGACCAATGTATTTCCGATGTTTATTACGTTTAATTTTGATATTTATAGGTGACAACCAATGAAAACATCAAATCTGGTATCTCAGAAAATTAGAATATTCTAAAGGCCAATGAAAAAATGTTTGTTTCTCTAATGTTGGCCAACTGAAAAGAATGAACATGAAAAGAATGTGCATGTATAGCACTCAATACTTAGTCGGGGCTCCTTTTGCCTCAATAACTGCAGTAATGCGGCGTGGCATGGACTCGATCAGTCTGTGGCACTGCTCAGGTGTTATGAGAGCCCAGGTTGCTCTGATAGTCGTCTTCAGCTCCTCTGCATTGTTGGGTCTAGCGTATTGCATCCTCCGCTTCACAATACCCCATAGATTTTCTATGGGGTTAAGGTCAGGCGAGTTTGCTGGCCAATCAAGGACAGGGATACCATGGTCCTTGAACCAGGTGCTGGTGGTTTTGGCACTGTGTGCAGGTGCCAAGTCCTGTTGAAAGGTGAAGTCTGCACCCCCATAAAGTTGGTCAGCAGCAGGAAGCATGAAGTGCTCTAAAACTTCCTGGTAGACGGCTGCATTGACCCTGGACCTCAGGAAACAGAGTGGGCCAACACCGGCAGATGACATGGCACCCCACACCATCACTGACGGTGGAAACTTTACACTGGACCTCATGCAACGTGGATTCTGTGCTTCTCCGCTCTTCCTCCAGACTCTGGGTCCTTGATTTCCAAAGGAAATGCAGAACTTGCTTTCATCAGAAAACATAACTTTGGACCACTCAGCATCAGTCCAGTCCTTTTTGTCCTTGGCCCAGGCGAGACGCTTCTTGCGCTGTTTCATGTTCAAGAGTGGCTTGACACACGGAATGCGACACCTGAATCCCATGTCTTTCATGAGTCTCCTCGTGGTGGTTCTTGAAGCGCTGACTCCAGCTGCAGTCCACTCTTTGTGGATCTCCCCCACATTTTTGAATGGGTTTGTCGTCACAATTCTCTGCAGGGTGCGGTTATCCCTAGAGCTTGTACACTTTTTTCTACCACATTTTTTCCGTCCCTTCGCCTGTCTGTTAATGTGCTTGGACACAGAGCTCTGCGAACAGCCAGCTTCTTTAGCAATCACCTTTTGTGTCTTGCCCTCCTTGTGCAAGGTGTCAATGATTGTCTTTTGGACAGCTGTTAAGTCAGAAGTCTTCCCCATGATTGTGGTGCCTTCAAAACAAGACTGAGGGACCTTTTAAAGGCCTTTGCAGGTGTTTTGAGTAAATCAGCTGATTAGAGTGGCAGCAGGTGTCTTCTATATTCAGCCTTTTCAGAATATTCTAATTTTTTGAGATACCAAATTTGGAGTTTTCATTAGTTGTCACTTATGAATATCAAATTTAAATGTAATGAACATTGGAAATACATTGGTCTGTGTGCATTGCATGAATATAATGTACAAGTTTCACGTTTTGAATGGAATTACTGAAATATTTTCAACCTTTTGATGATATTCTAATTTACTGGCCAGCACCTGTAGACCCAGGGTAAAATCAAGGTCCAGAGTGTGCCCCCTAGTGTGTGTGGGGCCAGAAACATGCTGGGTAAAGCCAAAGGTGTCCATAAGGCTGGAGAAATTCATGGCAAAATGGTCAGAGGGATCATCAACATGGATGTTAAAATCACCAACAATCACCAGTCTGGACAGCTTCACAGTGGAGGATAGAAAGTCACTGAACTCCTGAAGGAAAGAACTGTTTGGATCAGGTGGACGATAAACCACAGCACAGTAGAACGGGTCCTTACCCCCGACTTTAATCAGCTGCAGTTCAAAGGAAGCAAAGTGACCAGAGGTTGTAGAGCTACATGGAAGATGGTCACTGAAAACAACAGCTGGGCCTCCACCACGACCAGAACCCCGGGGCTGGCTAAGAAAAGAATAACCACTCGGGCAGAGTTCAATCAGACCAGAACAATCAGATGTTTGCTGCCAAACTTCAGGTTTTTAAGAGAGAATTAAATCATTGAGCAGGAAGGACTTATTGTTAACAGAGTGGGTATTTAATAGAGCCATGCTGAGTGAGGTGGAGGAATCAAACTACAGAAACAGCTGGAGTTAGTTGACGTAAATTAGCAGGGTTAGATCCACGGTGTTTATGAAAACCACTTATGGAGGGAACAGGAGGAGAAACCACTGAAGAGTGAGGATAAACCGACCTTAAAAAACTTGACGGAGAGACCGCGCCGTAACGCGGCCTGGCGGGAATGCGGAAGTGGCGCTCAAGTCGCCAAACTAAGGAAAATAAACTAGAAGATCACGCCGATGTTTACTAGATAAACCACACTTTAAGTCTTATTCTCACCTGGATTCCTGCTCGTTTACCTCTTTTCCTCCGACGTTTTCCCGGGACCGGATAAACGTAGCTGGAGGTGCCCTGGTTGGAATCGTCGTTTGGCTCCAGGCCAGTGTGCTACTCAGATAAACAAACAGGGAGATACGTCCTAGGTGCATCTTGGGCGATCGTGAACGAACAGAAGGACAAAAGAGTCTGGCGATCATAGGAGATGGTAGCAGGGACACTACTGAAGAGGATCGTAGACAGGAGCAAGGTGGAAAAGAGGTGGTTAGTGGAGAAAAGTTTGAAAAAGTGGCCGGTGACTGCAGCTAAGCCAACACACATAAAACATTTAAGAACGATTTAAGTATTGTTAACATTATTTATAAATCAGTAAATGCATTTTGTCCTCATGGGCTCCCGTAGAAGGAAACATGGCATATAATATGGCGTCGCCCAGAGACTTAAGACCTGCTCCCATGTATTTTAGACCTGATTTTTAAGGTTATATGTTATGAAGCCATCAATATTTTTCAACAACTGGGCATCATTTCATTCTTTTTCAACAACATTTTGATGAATATTTCCAGAAATTATTGGTAAAAATCACACATTGTCTCTTTAAATCCATATTATGCAACTTTATCAAATTTTAAATCATTTTCTTCAGCCATTATGTGCTAAAATGACCCTTTACAGGCTTAATGAAATGCCACTCTGACCCAAGCAGCCTGTGGCTGGAATACCACACTTGCAACTTCAGAACAGCGGGCCGCCACCTGTTGAACTTAAAAACATTTAGCTGACATACTGCTTCCAGCACGTTTCCTGCATGTTTTAGATCATGAACAAAGCCGATTTGTTTAGTGATGAACCGCTGCTCTAGACTAGCAAAGGATGGGGATTCATTTCAGCTGTTAGTTTAAGGTGTTAAAAGACAAACACACAGCGATAAGACAAGATTAATTTTCACTTTAACCACAGGAAATTGATAATGGGACACTAGGGGGTGCTAAAAGATTTCAAAACTTCCAAGTGTGCATTTAACAAAAACACATCAGAAACATAAACACAAAGCACAATATGACAAAGTAAAACATTCAAATAAAAGAAAATACCCTTTTCTACCCGAGTATAAAGCGTAATTACTTTTGTTACCTCTAGTGGAGGTTTCTGGGATTAGTCTCTGATGCTGCTACTGCCCCCGTCACCCACATACCAACGACAGTTACTTGGTTTGCATTTAATAAGTGTCTTATGTGTATGCATTAGGTGTAAATATCGTTTTATTGCTGTCCGACAGTCACGATGCCAAAAGACAAAACAAAAAAATTAAATTAGACATCACCATTTTAGAAAACTGTTTATTTGAAAGTGTCTAGGTCCAAGTACCAACAGACCCCATAATACAAAATAAAAAGAAAACAAATGCTACAAACAGAGAAAACTTCCATCTACATAAAACTTCTTAAAAATACATCACCATCAACACAAGAAAAAAAACAAAACAATGTATCCATTAAAGATGACAGATGATTGGGGAAACTTGTCATATTTGTGTGAAATTAAGCCACAAGCCTGGAAAGATGAAAGGAAAGGAGAGCGCTAGTGAACGGGCGTTTGTTTTCTTCTTCCTGCAGACTCGGAGAAGACTGGGTGACACAGCAGTCATGTGGGCAGCAAACAATAAAATAAAATAAATTAAAGGGGAAAGAAAAGCAGGGAAAGGTGTGAGAGGTAGCAAAAAGGGTGTGAAGAGGTAGCAGGAGGACGATTTCTAGAAGAGGTAGCTAGCAGATGAACGAGGAAGAGGTAGCCAAGAGGTAGAAATGCTAACAGTACTAGCAAAGAGGGAGGAGCAGTTAGAAATGATCCACAATAAAATACATTATTGTGTTTCTAAGTGACTTGAGTGAGAAGTACCAAACATCCACATTGAACACAAATGTGTTAATTGTCGACTTAAAGCATTATTTTTCCAGCAAAACTCGATTGGATCTCTTTGAACATAACAGTTTATATTTGAGGGCGTCTACGAGTTTAAGCTGTGCTGCAGAAAAGCAACTAGAGCTGAAAAGAAGTCTCACTAAAACCTTTCAAAAGCTCAAAATGAAAATAGGCCACATTCTAGCCAGATAACTTCAACTTACCAATAAATAACGTTTAGCCAATGGCTTCATCAGGATTTAAACAATAATCTCATTTCAACAATGAAAAACATACTAACTTGAACTTTTTTCACGTTTTATAGCTGCTAGTTTAACATTGACGGGAATTTAACCGACTGAGGTTGAGGCTTTAGAATGAACATTGTGAAAATAAAATGGCAGAAACAAAACAAAATACAGTCTGCTTTTATTTTCTTTTTTCCAAATAATTTTTCTGAAAATTTAAGCTCAGTCATGTTTAATTTCTAGAAATCAATCAAATAAATCTGACCACAAAGCCTTCAGCAGCTTTCAAAGGTGAATGACGGAGTTAATTAGTTGTTTTGGTTTGTCGTTAAAGGTTCTGATGGCTGGGCGCCGCTGCATTCGGAGGATTAGTCAACATTTGACTCAACCCTTTTCCCGCTTCGATCATCAACAGGTAGAAGACAGAAGTAAGAATATTGCTATTTTGAGTTTTAGTGGCTGAAAAAAACTGAAAAGGTGGGAAAAACACCAGGTTGGCGAGGTAGACAGCAATAGGCGTGAAGGAAGTGAGCAGAAGAAGAAAGGGGCGGGGCAGAATGGCTACGGTAGAATCCCACCACGCTGAGGAAGAGTTATGTTCTGGTGCTTCAGCCGAGTCGCGACGCAGCGTCTCTCGATCTGAACAGGCTGTGTAAAGGTCGGTGGGGGGTTGAGTGTGTCGTGCCTTGCGGCGAGGTCTAGTGGTGAAATCAGCAAGTGTGTGGATCCTCCAGTGTTGACCTGAGCTTAGCTTACATTTCTGTGTGTGTTACAGTTCTCTGGGTGGAGACAGGAGGAGGAACGGAGGGTTTAGCAGATCTGTAACCTTTACTGTTATCGTTCATTTGTGCCGTAAAACTCCACAGGTGCCTCATTGGGTCCAATCCCACATACAGACTGGATTATAAACCATGAATGTAGTTCCTAATGCAACAAATCAGACTCAGCACCGTTCTCCACCTTTGTTTTCATTTTAATTGGACAAGAAGACAAATCATCAGCTCTGCTCTTTTGACAGAATAAAAAAAATGAATCAAAATTAGGCTAAATTTGATGCATTTAGAGTTTTGCATCATTTTTAGACGGCTGTTTGTCTCCATCAACACCAGAGTGAACCTGGCTCATGGGCTGCTCCTTAACCAAATATAAACCTGATGCACACGCGTTGCTGAACTACTTTCCTGCAGACTTTTGACCTACTGGGGACCTTTTTGGCCTTTTTGTTGAATTTCTCAAGATCAATAGGATCAACGAAATTGAAATGTATTGATAAATAAATAGGCACACGCTGCCATCGACCCTCCCTCTGTCTAACACACACATTCACATACACACACACACACACACACACACACACAGATCTACAGTGTATCATTTAAAGAAGAGCGAGAGGTAGATTCTCCATCAGAACAAGGGCAGGCTGGGAGTTTCGGCTCAGCACACAGAACCCTGAGGGTCTGTCCGGGCCTCTGGTCCCTCTAGCTCCCCCTAGTGTTTGATTTGGAGGAAAGGGAGGACCAGATTTTAAGGGGTTATCTTTTTTTGGTATACAAGAAAAGGCTACAGTGTCATTTACACAACAAAAAAAAAACAAAAACAAAAAAACAGCATTGTTACTGTAAAGAATGAGAAACAATATTTTCTGATGATTTCTGTCTCCTTGTTTGGTTTTCTGGCTACAGCCTCCCGTTTGCCCAACAGAGCAGAAACAGTGTTTATTACTAGATGAACCTCGCCGCTGCGCCCTGAGAGGAAGTCTGCATGTGTGTTTGTGATGTCTGGGTCACTTTTGCTGATAAACCCTGAGTGTGAGTGTGTGTGTGTGACGGAGGGTGACGTTTATGGCAGCTTTAATGGGCAAATGCTGAGTCGTCAAAAGGGGGGCAGAAATTCAGAGATGTGTGCTTTTGTGCGTCTGTGTGGGTCTTAGTTATCAGTGATTCGTCCACTTGGCTGTGCTGCGGGACCCACTGGAGCTGGAGGCAGCACCTCGGGCTGTGCAGGAGGAGGACCGGGGTCTGCAGGGACAGAGAGGCCAAATTTAGATGAAGGAAGACCAAAAGTGGTGGTTTGTGTTCAAAGGTTCAGAACTTTGGTGTGTGTGTGTGTGTGTGTGTGGGGGGGGGGGGGGGGGGGGGGGGGGGCTCTGTACTCACACATGCCGTTGGGGGCTCCAGAGTGACGCGGGGGCATCATGGGAGGCATCCCACCTGGAGGTGGGCCGGCGGAGGGGGGTCCAGGCATCATACGTCCAGGCATCTGCTGACCTGGTTCTACTGGTCCTGCAGTTTTGATTAAGAGACAAAGATCATGAAGAGACGGCTCAAATTAAGTAAAACATTTGCTTCATGTTTTAAATAAGCATTTATCAGTAGCTTTGCTTTAAGACAAACATTTACAAAGTTTTAGTCAAGATTTATTTGAACAAACAAAATTTTATTTAAAAAAAAAACATGCTAATATCTCACAGCTACTTTTTTCTCCACAGACTTTATTCTGCTTAGTCTCACCCGTCTGTCCTGGGTGGTGGGGGGCCATAGGGTGGTGGCCCATTGGCGGATAGCCTGGGTGCATTGCAGCGCCTGGTGGGGGACCGCCGTGGTGCGGATGTGGACCTCCATGATGGGGAGGAGGTCCGCTGTGGTGGGGTGGGGGTCCTCCATGGTGTGAGGGAGGTCCTCCATGGTGGGGTGGGGGTACGCCGTGGTGCATACCTGGTGGAGGAGGGCCCGGGTGGGGTCCTGATCCAGGGACCTGTCCTTGTCCTTGGGCCTGAGCGGCAGCGGCAGCAGCTTGCTGCTCCATCTGCTGTCTGGCCTTCATCTCAGCGTACTTCAGCTGCTCCATGTGGAACGCCTGTCTCTCTGTGAGGAGCTGCTGCCTCTGAAGTTCCAACTGCACACACACACACACATTAATGGATGAAGAGGAGTTAGACCAGGAAGCAGAAACATTACAAAGACCACAACCAAATAACCCAGAGCTCAGTCAAAGCAGCATTCTTCAAGAACCAGGGGTTTAAAAAAATCTGTGTGTGTGTTTGTGTGTGTGTGTGTGTGTATAATAAATTCATTCTGCTCCATTTTCACCACGCTGATGAAGCGGACACCTAAAGGCAACTGAAAGCTCAGACTCGTCCCGTGTTTCTTTGTGGATCCTTTCAGCCTGAGTGTTTACAGCAGCAGCCATGTTGGTTTCCGTCTTGCTCCGTGACAGATTCCTAAAACGTTTCTTTTCGAGCAGCTTTTGCAGCTGTGAATGGGCTGAATTAGGCTTCAGTCCAGATGCTGCCACAAGAAAACACAGTTTTACACTCTCACTAGCATCTCCAGGGACACACACACCAGCTAAATCAGGCTTTTCCCTGGCAGAGCAGCAGTTTAAACAGCATCACTAAGTAGCTGCTCAGCTGTAGATAAAACCCTTTTGGCTTCCTCATAAAGAATTCATGTTTCTTATAAAGACTTGGAGCTCATGGAAAGCAGCTCCACCACGAGGGAACATCTGCTAATGACTAAATATTTACCGGCCACTTGATCAATGAAGCAGTCGCAGGAAAGGGAAAGTTAGACGGCGGGTCACTTTTTGGCATTTCCACAGACAGAACCTAAAGGAACTAAGGTTTGGTTTTCCTAGGATCAGGATATTCTAACACTAACTAACGCTTTCCGATAATAACAGTAACGTCCCACAGATGTGGTCAAGCAGCTAAACAAAAAGGCAGAGCTGCTTCGATTCTAGTTAATCTCTCATTAGCTAGACTCATGTGGCTGATGATAATCGGATGATGTCTGGCAAAGGTGAAGCAGAAGAAGTGTTTGAGCTGCACTGCATTCATTCATGAACGTTTTAAAACTACAAACCTCTGATGATGCTACTAAAACAAACTCCGACTCAACTTACAGCTTCCTTCTCGCGGTCCATGATGGTCTCCAGCTCCTCGAAGTGCCTCAGCTTGATCTCCAGCTTCTTCATCTGGGTCTCCACCAGCAGAGCAACCAGCGACTTGATCTTTCTTTCTTCGACTGCTGCCAGGTGCTGAACAGAAGATTAACGTGAACATAAGCATCTCAGTAGCCCCTAATTTAACTCTGAACTGTTTTCAGTAGAAACTTCTCTGGAAAACAAACACGGATGAATGAAAAGTGACATCTCCTCACCTTGGCCTTGGTGGCGGCGGACGCAAGAGCAGCAGCCGCTGCCGTAGCGATGTTTCCCTCTCCGATGTCATGTTCCAGCTTTTTCCTCCTGTCCTCTCCCTCCTCCATAGCCTCACTTTCCTCCTTCTCTTTCTCCTGATCAGGAGAAGTCTTCATTGGTTCCTCTTTTTCCTTGTCTGAATAGGGAAGGAAACATTTTTAACCTGCTGTCAGAAGACAATCAAATATTTTTTTTCCTATTTTAACTGAAGTTTTAAAAGATGAATACAGAAAAACAAATCCCATCACAAGCTGGGATTGTTTTGTAAAGATCACCATTACCTGCAGAAGCCGTTTTAGACTCCTCTCCTTCGCTCTCCTCTTCGTGCTCCGATGCTTCCATTCCCTCCTTCTTCACCTTTTCTGTGGTCTCTGTCTTGTCGTTCTTTTCTGCAGACTCGCTGGGCTTCTCTGCCTCATCCTTGGACTCGGCCTGAGGAAAAACGGGTCAAAAACAAGAAACTAATAAGAAAACAAATGCTCAGAAACTAGAAAAACCCTCGGATATTCTGCCATAAAGAACACAAGTCTAAATATTCTCTCATGTTTAACAGGTTGCTGCACATACATATATAAATAGGGGGTAAAACAAGTTAAGCCAGCCTTCCTGGTACTGATCACAATGAAAACTCTTACAGGACACAACTTAGGATCACACCACTTTCCTCTTTTCGTGCTGAATGTTTGCTGTTATTTAAAAAATGCTGCAGAGTTTTGATGTAAATCTGCAGAATAAGTTCAGCCAAGAAAAGGACATCAATGGGAAAAAAATATTAAACTTTATGTGAAACATTCATTAAATGTGATGTTTGGGTCTGTTTGATTAAGAACCTGTATAAAAGCCAAAGAGCAACCTTCATGTGAATTTTGTGAAACCAACCAGAAAGCGACAAAAAAAAAAAAAATTAAACCTGCAGTTCCACCCTCATCCACTAGGATCTCTCCACAACAGAGCAAATTGACCCCCATGTTGAAAATACCCATTTCATAGCGGAAGTAAACATGGTTACAGCCTAGTTAAAAATAAATAAATAAATAACATTTTAGATTTAATAGATGTCGATCACAGTCATGACAACTGTGTGTGTGTGTTGGTGGTGAGGGGGGGTTTGGAAATTATGAATAATTAGATATGATTGACATGTAGAATGAGCGTTGGAGCTAGCGCTAGCTGTTTATTTTTTTCTCCCCATTGACAAGTGTCTTGGGTGTCATGAAAGGTGCTTTTTAAATAAAACATATTATAAAAAGTATTACATTAATAGATGTTCAGTCATTTCCACTCTCTGATCTTTGGTTGTGTTGTCTGTGTGTTTCTGTTCGAATGTTGACCATGGGAACTATTTGAACAAAGAGGGCAAGCTATAGTGTTGAATGAGCTAACAGATCATCCAAGAAGTCTCTGCTTCACTTTATTTGGTAAGTAAAATTATATATCTGTACTTTATTTTTCTGGTTGAATGGGAGAAAATGTTGTTCATTTAATAAAACTCAAAGATGGGTGGAAATATGACGTGTTTGTGGGGCTGGCTGGGTGCTGAAACTCGAGCTAAGTGAGCTAGCCAAAGCTAACGAAGGTTTCCAGTTTCTGTAACATTTCCCTCCATTCAGAGGCGGCAGCCCTACAGAGATCCACGAATCTACCGCTCTAGTCTCCCAGAGGCAGCTGAGCAACGTGGCCGCCCGGCTGCTCACATCTCCTGGCAGGAAGCAACCGTGTGACACGATCACCCGGCTCCCATGCAAGGCTGTAGTTATCCAGGATGTCCATGGAGCTCTCCACGGGAGACCACAGAAACATCGCAGATTGGCGAGTTGCGTGCTTCACTTTAGTCGCTCAACAGCCTGTTTCTGGCTAAAAGCGTCTGAAAACCACAGTTAGCTTCGGTTAGCTAACTTAGCTTGTAGTAATGGTAATTAGTAATAAGTAATGGCTGACTAAGATCCTCAGAGAATTGCTCTCTGCTCCACCTCTTTGCCCATTTATGGGTTGCCTGGGCGTGACAAGACTTGTGAAACGGCCAAGATGGCTGTAATAGGAACCACCGATTGAGCCACAACTCAGACCTTTAAAAACTCATCGATCACGGTATGTCCAGTATTTCTAGTCAGTGATCAAAACTCTACAATGTGCTGAAACAAACAGCTCGCTGTAGTTTCTAATACACGTGAGATGAGACGTGTGTTCTCAAAACTCTCGGTCCTAAAGTCACTGCAGTTTAAACCACATTTACTTACATCACATATAAAAACATTTAAGAGAAAGGCTCACTTTATCAGCCTGCTGGGAGTCTGAATCCGTTTCCATCTTTTCTGGTTCTGTAGTTTCTGCGAGTGATGAGATAAAAAATAAATAAATAAGTGCATCATTTAAACAGATCAACATGATTATCACATGAGAGCCTAAATGGAAAACATTTCCAGCAAAAGTAAAAACAAAAGTGACAGAATGAGACAAAAGATGTTTTTTTAGAACCGATTTGAAACGAGAGAGGGAAAAAAATTATGCAGCTTCTGCACACGTGACCCAATGAATGTGTGTGTGAAGCTGGACTTAAACTGTGTCATAGATTCATTTAAGTGTCTATTAGGAGTCTGAATATTGGTTATAGCAGCAGTAATTCAGGGAAAACCACCATTTGTTTCCCAGGCTGCATGTGTGCCATGGTTACAGTAAAAAGCCACCAGACAGCACCAAGTAAATGAAGAGAAATCCATAAGCAAACAAAATGCTGACCCAGTTTTCCATCTTCTCTCATCCCCACCCTCTGTCCCATCTGCTGCTGTTGTTTTAATCTGACAGTATAAAAACACACGCACCATTATTTCTGCACTGCTGAAATCCACTGCTGCATCGTCACACACCATGAAAGTCTGGCTATTTCTACCTGATTATCTATCGTTTGTTCTTATTTTGGCTCCGACTGCAGATCAGCCATTAGCATCAACACAGCTGCTTAAACCTGGACAGCAGCAGCACTGTGCATGTGCTGCCCTCCAGCGGTGGAAGAGGCAACGCAACCTGGTTTTTCTTTCCACGATCCTGTCCTGTCTAGAACTTCTACACCTGTTCTCATCCCACCCACCGGTTTTTTCCGGTTCCTCTGGAGCAGTTCCGGCGATTCCGCTGCTCTCCAATCCGAAGGTGGGGTCGACTTTGCCTGTGCTCCTCGCCGCCTCTTGCACCTTCTTCACGTGAGCTTCCACCAACTCGGCTGGCACTTCTTCACGCACCCGAGAGAACTCCTCTGCAAAAAAACAAGATTTTTTTTATTTTCAGTGTTCCCTTTTCTGTCTCATCTTTTTTTATTTTTTAAATTCTTCAGAGAAAATAAAATAAATAAAATATTAGCAATTCTTTGGACAATTTTGTTTCTTCAAACCAGTTCTCACCTAAAGCTGCCTTAGCTGCAGCAGAAGCCACTCTGGGATCCACGACGGAGGCCAGGAAGGCTACTGTGCTCATGACGGGGTTTCCAGACTGGCTGAAGGGAATGGGCTGGTAGGCCAAGGGGCCCAGCGATGTCTCGGTGCTCTCGAGGTAAGGATCCTCGATGGGCAGCCTCAGGAAGTGCAGGATACATTCATCCTGGGTGCGAGAGCCGATATGCTCCGACACTTTGTTCCAGTCATCTTTGAACATCTCCAGAGCCTGAGAGATGAATTGAGTTTCACATCTTAGAGAGAATGTGTGTATTGTTGGTGGTAGAATGTAGATAAGGATTTAGAGACATACAAGACTTTGAGAACAAAAGAAAAGGAGCATAAGATTTTCAGAGCTCAGCAGGTGTATCTGCCTAATGACACTAACCTCCAGCAGTAGCAAAGTCTCCTGCTCGGTCCATTCTCTGGTGCTGCTGCCTCCTTTACCCTGCTGCTGATCAAAGACAAATTAACCACATGCTTTATCATCTTCAATGCGAATCTAAAAGAAACAAAAGATACGTTTAGGTCACATTCAGTGTGTCTTTTCTTACCTTAGTGTTCTTCTTGTAGAGGTCGGGCCGGAGGCCGAAGTTCTGCAGGTCAATGGGTTTGTCTTTGCTTTTGTCTACAAAGTTGGGCATCTGTTGTGGAGGAGGAATCTGCAAAAGTAGAAAAAAAGCACATGGGACCGCCCATGGGATGAAGAGAGCAACTCAGCTTGTGGAAGCTAACCATTAGCATTGGCAGCTCCACCAACAGGACAAAACATGTTGAAGATTGTTATTTGAGGAGATGAAACATAGACTGTTAGGTATTTTAATGTATTACTGTCTTAAATGTATTACTGTGTTCCTTTTTAAGTAATCATATGTTAATCTGTTGTGAAGTAAGCCAGAGTTCTTTCTCCTTCTCTTTCTTACTTCAGGAATGCGGCTGATAAGCATGGGGGTTGGGGAATAGCCTGTCCGGCAACAGGTATCCATGGTTACAGAGTTTCTGGCTGTTAGTCATAAATGAAAACTTCCTTTTTGGAATGTCCCACCTTAGGTAGAAGCAACACTGTTATTGGCTAAAGCCAGGCGTACACTGTGCGACTTTTTCACTCGTAGCACTCAGCTTCAGCTCAAACTGTACGACTTCCTCGCAGAGCAGATCTCACGAGTCATGTGCTCACACTGCACGACCCAGTTCTCGGATGCGACCTGACTGCTCACACTGTACGTCTGGTAGCAACACGTCGGCCCTAAAAATGTGCTAAAAACAGCAGTTTTTACTCAACACGTCAGACTTTTTTGTCTTGTTTTGCCTGTTGTTCTTCAGGAGTGCTGCAGGAGGACACACAGGGATTTATGGGGGTTGGATGAGGAAAACGAAATAAAGTAAATCTGTGTTTTGTGATCATTTTAATTTGACATGAACACAACAAACACGCTTTCTTGACAATCTTTGTGAGTAAAAAAACGTGTAGAAATTAAAACGAACAACGTGTGTTATTAGGGAAATAGCGGGGAGCGGTGTTGATGCAGGATTGCGCATGCACCGTGAGCGGTTCTGATACTTTTTGGGTCGCAGCTGCTCGCAGCGCCGCTTCAACAGTGCGATACCCTCACGAGGGACGAGCAAAATATTAAACACGCCAGAAGTCCGTGTGACCTCACGACTGCTGATCGGCAGCTGGTCACGTGGTGTTAATCGCCTCTCGTAACCCCCTGTACACTACACGACGCTCGACGCAAAACTCGCCCCGATGTCGTGGATTCTCGCACGACTGGAAAATCGGCTCAAAAAAGTGAAAAAGTCGCAGTGTACGCCCGGCTTAAGTGTAGACAGTGATGGATTGTTCTTTGTCCTTTTTTCCCCGTGTTTCAATAAAACCAGCTGTGGTGCAGAGGGGAGGCCAGAGTTGATCGGACACGGGCCTTTGCAGGCTCTTGGCCCGTTGCTCCCCGCTGCCTTTCGCAGCGTATAAAACCTACTGACCTTTCTCCTGTGTGGTTCATTTTAGGACATAAAAATACCCAACATCAACGTTGCATTTTTTACCCCACAAAAAAAGAGCGAACAAAGGAAGTGGAAGAGTCGTATTGCTTTTAGCCAATCAGAGGAGAGATGTTTGCACATCATGAATGTTAACTCGTTCACTGCTAGCCGTTTTCTGATCAGAGAGCCCCTGTCTGCCAGCTTTTTGAGCAGTTTCACTGTTTTCTGAGGAGCCACAGAACATTGTGCTCTATGATCATGTAAACACCAAAACTATCAAAAGAAAGATCTCCTAATTCATGGATTGTCCGCTTCATGATCACGTGACGTGCGACACACACGGGTGAAAAGCATTAGAGCCGTGATGAGCAGTTTACTCTCAAGGTGCGCAAATTTGTTCCCAAGCATGCCCCATTAAAAAAAACGCAACTGACGACTTTAGTCATCAATGTTAATAAGTTATGAGTTAATAAGTATGACTCGCAGATACTTCATTCCTGTTCTCAGCGGTCTTCAACTGATCCAGTCCTGACCCATCTTTAAAGCAGGGTGTGGTTACCTGGGGGGGACGGTGGTTGAGAGGCATGAGTCCAGAAGGCGTGTCAGCCAGTACTGTGAAGTGTGGTGTGGGAGGAGGGCCCATGGGCAGCGGGCGACTTTCAGCATCCACCTGATAGTTCACCAAACCCCACTGCTCCAGGAAGGCATGGACCCTGTAGATGACACAAAAGCACGCTTTGATCACTTCTATTTTTCATCTTGGTTTACAAAGATCTAAAGCTGTTTTAACACAGCTGATCTATCTTATGCTCATCATGTGACCATCACTAATATTCTGGTAAAGCAGCACAATCCGGTTGTGATGTAACTGGTAAAATCACCTCATGATGGCACAGACGTCTCCGGTCAGGTTCCTGCGACAGGAGGTGGAGGTGAGGTACTCCTGGGGGTTGAGCCGATATGTGTCGATCATGAAGTTACGATAGGCCAGGTATCTGATTAGGAGTTAATCAAATCAGCATTAGCATAGACGACCCCAAAATACAACATTTGACACCATCTGTGTGTGAAGGAACTCACATTTCTGGGGTTTTGGACTTGTTCTTCCCATTGAAGAACTCAGGCAGGGCTCGTCTTTCAATCTGATGGATGCTAATAAGAGAGGGGAAAACCCCAAATATTTTAGTTTATTAAAATATTATCTATTCATTTAATTTTTTTGGGCCAATTTGACAGAATTAGTAAATCTTCAAGCACAACTTGAAGAAAAATAGCATCGTGTGACTACAGGAGTTCTAAGTGGACTAATAAACACAACATATTTTCTGAGGGTCTGAAGCTTCTTCAAGATAAAAATGTGCGTTTCTACACTTGACTGTTGTTACCTGTTGTAGTCAAACCAGGACGCGTAGCTGGGGATGATGATGTGGTGCGTCTGTTCGGTCACGTTGTCCTCACTAGCATCCAGACGGTTGACCTCTCCTTTGCCCTGTTCTTCATCGTCCTGCAGATAGTCGGGAAGACTTAAGGTACTAAGAAAAAGCTCCAAAGAAATGTCAAATTGTAACATTTCTAAAGGTTTTTAATTATATAAAAAAATATATATATATAAAAAAAATATATATATATTTTTTTTTAACTTTTTGAAAATTTAACTGAACTTTTTACCTAATGGGGTTAAAACTTTTTTTTTATATAAATGAACATGATCATACGCTGGTGCCACCAGTCCCTCCAACCACCACCAGTAGGCAAGCTGGGTTAAGTGTCTTGCCCAAGGACACAACAGCAGCCTTCTCTGGTCAGAGCCAGGATCAAACCTGAAACCTTCCGATTACTGGATAACCCACTCTACCTCCTGAGCTACTGCTGTCCCTAAAAGGTAACATTTAGACCTGACTAAAGTTTAATCTGACAGAGGGACGTTAAATATTGTACATTTTTGTTAGATGTAATGGTGAATGAGTTTTAGAGAAGCAGGATGTTACATTTGAGCTTTTTCTAATCATGTTTTGTTGTTACATAAAGTAAAGGTAGAAGAGAAAAAATGTTTCCCTAGCAGTTATCAAGTAATTGAGTTAATGCCATTTGTGGGATATGTGGGGTCTTTTTAATCTGTAAAACCCTTAGAGTTACATTTTTGTATGAAAAGCGCTTTATAAATAAAGTTTAATTTGATTTGAATTAAACGTTCCCATTTAATCCGATTAATCGAGTCGAGACCCCATCCGATTCATCGATGATCCAAATAATCGTTTGTTGCAGCCCTGTAGGAAAGTGAGCGTTCTTATGCTAAACTGATCCAAAAGCATTTATCAATAAAACACCACCTCTAAAGGCATGATCTTAATAACCTCACACATGCAGCAAAGTGTTTGCTGGTATCTGCAGCACAAATGCAAATATAATAACTGCTGACTCTCTTTCCTCTTTAGAGACTTTGATATGATGAAGTCTGGCACGGATTAGTTTTCTTACCTTTCCACCAGACAGAACAGAATCATCCTCCATGTCATCTGGAAAAAGACAGAAAGCATCTCATTAGTGGGACATCATAGTAGGACTAAAACATCCATCAACTTTGCTTAAAACATGAAACGCACTAGAAAACACGTAAATCCAGTTAAAAGATACAAACCTAAGTCTGCCACATTTCCTCCTTTGACTGGAGTATTCTCACTGTCTCTTTTTGAATTTGCTGTGCATAAAGCAAAAGAAGGAAGAAGGTGAACGAGAAGAAACATCAGAAGCAAGAGAAAAGATTCAAAGAATCACTTTGAAGAAGGTTTAATGGAGCCGCAGGCATAGACTGATTCTGAAAAGAGGAATGCTTTAATAGACTAAAGTAGTGTGTGTGTGTGTGTGTGTGTTAGAAAGGAAGAGAAGAAAAACTGATTATTCGTAAGGTGGAAGAAAAAGTGGGTCACTGCAATGGGGACTTGGTCTAAAAAGAGCACTTTTAGTTTGTGTTTGGTTTTAAAGCAAATCTTCACATCTGAGACAGGAAATAAAAACATCCTCAGGCAGCTTTGCTTCTTTACTGGCTGAGATGTTTTGTGGGTAGATCTCTCCTGATGCTGCCATTTCTGCCACAGTGCTGCTTGGTTCCTACAGACTTTGATGTAATCACCACAAGCAGAACAAATGTGAAAACCTAAAGATAAAGTTAATTAGCTCATTCACCGCCACTGACGACTAAAGTCGTCATTTAAAATCCAACCGTTCACTGCCAATGACGACTCCGTCATTTGCATTTTTTTTACTGTTTGAGCATCGGAACGAGCCCCCGCGCCGAGAACAAACATCTCAGCCCTGAAGCCGATCTTCATCCGCATACGTCACGTGATCAGGAAACAGACCATCCATGTGTTAGGAGATCATTTTGGGCCGTTCCTGTAAAAAAGGTGAGGAGCGAACAGGAAAAGCGTCTGCGGATCAAAATTCGACAACGGATTATCAAAGAACGGATAATGCGTGAAACACGCGGATTCTTCCTGATGTAAGAGGTGGGTCTCCTCTTTGTTATGGCGTCGACATCATCCTAGCGAGCAACGCTCTGCGACTCTTAAAAAAAAAAACAGTAAAAACGGTGAGAAACGCTGGCAGCGAAGGCCGTTAGCGGAAACGGCTGGCAGCAAATGAGTTTGTGACATGCAGGTTTGTAAACCTGAAAGTAGAGGTCTAATATAAAATGCATGTAAAAGTTGATAGTTTTTAATATTCAGGATTAGAAATGGTAATGTGATTTTTATCCAGCATCGTGCAGCCCTGATCTGCATGTTCATTAGTTTCTCCAGAATTAAATTGTGATATAAACAGCGAAAGACATAGTGCTTAATTTGGTATATTTTAGCCAAAATACTGGAACAGGTGATTCCTTATTTGACATTGAATCACTTTATAGAAGGAACCCACCCCCCTCCCAAAAAAACCCACTTCAACATGGCCACACAGTAGAAGTGAGGGTCCACTAACGTATCCTCCTCTGAGGCTAGACATATCAGTATTTACAGTTTTTAAGATGAATAATGAGCTGTGAAATTTGAAGGTCTGTGGTGTAGCTACTGCAGCTACAAACAGAACAAACATCTGATGCTAAAACCAAACTTTGACGAGTTTGTATAAACAGCTGCTGATTAAAAATTCTTCACCAAACAAGCACAAAGTTGTGTCTCAAAATTATTATATAAAGTCGTGTTTTAATATTCAAAGGAGGACTGCTGCTTTATCCTTTTATTAAGTACATACTGTTCTTAGACATGCAGCCATCCTCCAAACTGGCACCGGCAGACGAGTCGTCCAAGTCCTTCGTGATGTCCTCCTCTGTGTCCTCCTCCTCTCCTCTGTGACCCCGTCTCTTCCAGTGTGGCCCAGAGTTCCTGAGGGGATTTAGTTTTATGGTTAGTCAAACAGGAAAGGGTTAAATCCCTCCTGGTATGGATGAACATGCTGACAGCGCAGCATTTCATCAGAAACATCATTTAATAAGCTGCCAGTGACGGATGTAGGAGGAGAAATGAAACAGAACCAGAACTCAGCAGGTCAGACTGTTGAAAACATTGGAATCAAACTGAGAAATCTGCAGCTCTAATAATTAATAATTCACGAGAAGCTTGTGATCTGGAATATCTGTGTCACCTCAATGGCTGTTATAATGCATGGCAGTTTTATTTATACAGCATATTTTACACAGAGACAATTCAAGGTGCCTCGCTGCCTCTGCAGAACCGTGTAACAGTTTCTTTTAGGGCTGCTCGATTATGGCAAAAATGATAATCACGATTATTGTAACTGAAATTGTGATCTCGATTATTTAAGATGATTTTTCAATTATTGTTAATTTTATTAGTTTGTTTCTTTATTCAGTCATAAAATTGCTCAGGGCACAATCAGGACAAAAGTAAATACGAAAAAGAAATTAACAAGATGATCACTAAAACAACTCCTGAGTCCTAGTATGTAAAGGCCAATATAGTTGCTCATTATTTATGACCCAAAGGGCTGAGGTTTAACTCATTTAAGCCTGACCAGTACAGACCCACATATCCATCCAGCTTCTTGCAAATACTGGCAGCAGGAATCATACCGTGGCATTTTTAACAAATAAAAAACAGATAAACATATATGTTTTAGTTACGTTCACAAAATTTTGCATAATATTTATTTAGTCCCGTCAAGCGGTGCTGTAGGGAAGTGTACACTAGCAACGTGTCCTCATAGACATCATTTATCAGCAAGGAACTTATTTCTATCTATTTCTACCTTGTTTATAAACTATTTATTTACAGGTCGCATCAGTTAATGTAATAACTGTCCCAGCCACAGCGATCGGAGGTGTGCTGCAACCCCCCACCCGGCCTCACAGCAGGCAGGGGCAAGCTGCGTGAGTTTAGCGCGCCACACATGCACATTTTGCCGTTTTTAGCGGCTCAGGAGCCTGCAGGTACAGTGTGTGTGTCACTCACTCTGGTTAATTCAAGAGGGAGCCGCCTCTGAGAGCCGTTTCTTTTGCGACCAACATCACAACATCATTCCCTTTCCTAATGTCCTGAAGGACCGGTACGGAGCGCAGGCAGAGTGTTTTGCTAACGTGCAGGAAATGCCAACGACGGTAGTAGCCAAGGGTTATCAGAAATGTTTCTGGGTTTATCACTAGGCACTTTTAAGATTCAAAAAGTCAAGATGGGGGTCTGAAAAGCTGTTGGAAATTGCAACAAAGTCGCCAAGTTGGCAACACTGTGGGAGGAGCGCTTGATTTGCAACTTGGAGCAGCACAAGAGGGAGGAGCAAATAACAGGGTATCTGCAGGTTTAAGGGAGCCAAATTTAAGACTTTTTAAGACCATTTTTAAGGCCACCTTGACAAAAATTTAAGCTATTTTTAAAAATTAAAACTAATTTCCAGCCATTGCCTGGAACCGGTGCTAACCACGTCGCGAACGTGGGATTAGCCATCCAGTTACCATTAAACTTGCACTTCCCCATGGCGCAAGCTCCCACTAGCTTAACCAGCTAATGTGCTCATCTAAAAATAGCCCCCTTTCACAACCAACTGAATGTGTACGGCTCCGCTTACGCCAACATCATACACAAAAAATGCTGAACACTAACTAGAAATTCATGAAAATTTTATAGAAATAAAATTGGGTATTTGGTAATTTAAGACCTTTGGAAACTGTACTTAAGGATTATTTGTAATTTTTAAGGACTTTTAGGGCCTCAAATTTGGAAAAGCAAATTTAAGACTTTTTAAAGACCCGTGGATACCCCGAAATAATCAGCTTGTTTTGTTTTTAATAATCGCTCAAAACTCAAATCGTAATTGGGATTAAAATTCGAATAATTGAGCAGCCCTAGTTTCTTTCCTTAAAATGTAGAAAAACAAGCATACCGAGTAACACATGATTTAAAAACAAATGTATATTGACCCTTAAGTAACAACGGTACAGATCTTTGATAAATTTTTTAAAAGCTAAGATATCAAATTGGCCTTCTTACCCTTTCTTCCCTCCCTTCTTGCGGGATTCGGCGGGAGTGCTGGGCGGCGAGGGCGAGCGTCTCCTCTTCTTGCCAGCAGAGTTTGCCTTGCGCTCCTTGCGATCAGGTGTACGGGAAGACTGATCAGACAAACCCCGAGCAGCACAGGGAGCGAGGGATGGAGGATGAGAGAAAGAGCCACAGAATGAGAGGATGGAACGGCTGCACACACAAGGAGGGGAAGCAGCGGGATAACAACAGCAGGTAGGGGAGAGGATGTTTTGTTGGGTGGAAGACACAATCAGGGTTCCTGTACACTAACGCACTAGAAAACACTAGTTCAATGTGGTGTAATGTGTTACTTTGTCATAAACAGGTTTCTGTGAAATCACTGATGGTGACCTGGCTTTGTATCTACTGGAATTGTAAGTTATAATATTTTTTGTCCAACAGAGTGAATCTTTTTATTTTGTGGCTCATTTGGAATCAGTTAAATGGTAAAATGGCCTGTATTTGATATAGCGCCTTCTAGAGTCCTGGAACCCCCCAAGGCGCTTTACAACACAATCAGTCATTCACCCATTCACACACACATTCACACACTGGTGGGGATGAGCTACGATGTAGCCACAGCTGCCCTGGGGCGCACTGACAGAGGCGAGGCTGCCGAGCACTGGCGCCACCGGTCCCTCCGACCACCACCAGCAGGCAACGTGGGTTAAGTGTCTTGCCCAAGGACACAACGACAGCAACAGACTGAGCAGGACTCGAACCAGCAACCTTCCGATTACGGGGCGAGCACTTAACTCCTGTGCCACCGTCGCCCCAGCTCGTGCTTGCATTAGCTCGCTGTTAGCAATAGCTACAGCAGGCCTTGTCCTGTCCAGGGGTGTCCAGTGCGTAGGGTGCCCCTTTTGCCCTTGCTTCGCACTTTTGCATTACCCACAATCCATTGCTGCACGGGAATTTTCAAAAGAAGGCGGATCAATGGCTCAAGTCTCTTTTCTGAAAATATGTATTTTCAAGAAAGAAGTTAATTTCCGGGCGAATAACTATATTTATTCATGCTCTAAATGTTTTAGACTAAAATTTAATGTGGACAGCAATGAATGTAAATTTTGTCAAATAATTGTTAGAAAGTTAATTAAGATTATTATTTTTTTAAATAGCATAAGAAGCAACCAGCATGTGTCACTGTCGATGACACAATGCTCCATGTCCCAATTTGGCACACTTGTGTACTACGCACTCGAGCCCCTACTGTGCACTTCCTCAACGTGTACTTTACAGAAAATCGTAGGCCACAGTCTAACCCCGGGTTTCCACGGGATCCGTCAGCAGCACGTTACTGCAGCAGCACGTCTTGCTCGCGTAAGCTGCTGCTTGGCCCTTCCCACGAGACGCGAAGCAGCAGGAGAGCAGCTGTCACCGACAGAGCACGAAGTCACACGAGTGACTTCGTCAGTAAACACAACAACAAGCAGGAGAAAACTACAACATGGTTTGTGTTTTATGTTCTGTCCGTTTTATAATCACCAATACGGACCTGAAAAACAAAGGAGACCGCTAGCTAGGTGATAACTTCTCACGGGGCCGCACAGTTAGTAACCTTTTTTAAAAGTAAAGCAACCGGAAGGCAGTACGTTCTTTATTCTGAAAATCTCGGGAGCTTCTCTCCATTTCCGCGTCCGATTTCCTGTCTTTCCTTCCCCAAAAATGTCGAGCTTGACCCGTTTCAGAGGTGTCGCGCGTAGAAAATAGAACCGGCGCGTAAAGGCCGCGACATGCTGCTCCTGAGACGCGGCCGACTCGCGCTGCTGACGGCTCCGGTGGAAAAGGTTCTGTTGACCACAGCGGTTCCTATCAGCAGCTATGACGTGCTGCTGACGGCTCCTGGGGAAAGCCGGGGTAAGTATTGGTGTTGAACCGTAGTTGTTAACGACAGTTGTAACTCCACTTTAAACCAGTAGGAGGGAGAAGTGGGAAACTTCTTTAGTGTTGCTTTAATAAACACTCCCTCTTAACACAGACAGGAACCCTGAAAAGTATTTAAAGGACACAAAATGTGAGGAAAGGTTTGAAAAGGATGAGTAAGAAACGGAACTGGACGTGGACGAAGGAAGACGACAGAGAACAACCTACAAGGCAAAGCTAAACGCAACAAAACACAAGCTTGCAACAGAATATAACATCACTCAAAAACAATTACATGTGATATAATCAGGACGTTGTTCCTGACCTCTGAGGTACATTTATTAAAATCTGCATCAAACAGCTACCTCCTCCTCTTTAGGGAAAATCTTCTGTCGGAAGCTGACTGGCTTCTTGTTCTCGTCCACCTCGTAGTCCTCTTCATTCATCCACTCATTGAAGGCATCGGTGTCTGAAACCCATTTGGCATGAACCTGACATAAAAGTATATGGAGAGAAAGGGTGGTGGTTAAAAAAACAATAACTCAGTGTTTACTGCTGTGAAGCATCACAGGAGAAAAGCTTCACGGACACCAAAAATGATTAAATCAATTTACAATACAAATAGGATGCAGTCATTAAATTATTGAAAATAATGAATTCTAAAAAGTTATGTTTTCCACACATCAGAAGGGTTAATACCAATATCTAGATTTACATGTTTTTTTCCAGAAAAAAAAGTTTTCTGAGCAGCCAGGCTAGTTTTACGCTTGTGTGTCTATTTATGAAATCTTCAGTGCTAAACAGATCATTTTGGTAGAGGGTGCTCCACCTTCCAGGGTCGGTCAGCACTGGGAGGGTCTTCAACGTCTCCGTCCACCTCACCAGCTGCCACCCAGGTGTCGTAGCTGGTAAAATACATAACAGACACAGGATCAGTAAGGTGGTTAATCTGGGTGATTTCAAAACAAAAAACTTGGCAAAAATGTCTCTGACATTAGATTTAGTGTTTTTTAAATTACTAATAAAAATAGAAACTGAATAACTTTAGAGAAATACTCCTGCAGAGTAAAAACATATCCACAATAAAGAAAAGCATGTCCGAGTCTCTCTGTGATCCTTTCTGATTACCTGTCAGGGGAAAAGCCCCAGTGAACAAGCACCTGCTTGTCTTTCCTCATCACAGGACGTAGCCACTCTTCTGAAAAACACAACCCCCAGCACAACTTCAGCAATTAGCGAAGATTTTATCCGTGCTGTGACAAAAAATTCCCATTTTCAAGAAGATCAACTAAATAAAGCCTCCATAAACGGAGCTAAATGATCTTTATTCTGATCTAGATGTGTTTGATGGGATAGAGATCACACTATAAATGAGTCAGATCAGCAAGGAACAATAACACCCAAGTTCAAACATACATCATAAAATGTATGCACAAAGTCACAAAAGTTATAAACCAACCTTCTTCCTGCTGCTGAAGAGAAGGATAAATGTGGTGGGTGGCCTTTGACTTATCCTCGGTGGTGGAGCCCTGAAGAGAAACAAAGTTAGATAATTGAAAAGACAAAGACGTTCATGCTAGTCATAATAAAAATACATAAAAAAATAAACTGTTTTTATTTCCTGGTTTGAAGTGAACTCACCTGGTGCCTTTTGACGATGTCTTTGAGCTTACTCGCTTGTTTTTGCTCTATTTCCGAAGACAGGTAGACCAGAGGTCGCGTCAAGCAGTTATTCTACAAAATCACAAACCATCGATAAAACCAGACGTTACCCATGCAGAGGTCAAATATATAGAAGACAAAAAGTCTGTGTTCAGACTGGGATGCTCATACCTGAACCAGGTTCTTCTCAACATTTAAGAACATCTCCACATTTCTGTCCATCCTTGAGGGATTCTGCAAATCAAATCTTCGCCTAAGAGTAGAGTTCATAAAGCAAAACCAAATTAGTTTTAAGACGAACACACAACTGACTAAAAGTTGAATATCCTTTTGATTTCATGCGGTATGAATTTTGTCACATTTTACAAGATGTTCAGTTCGTGGTACTGGTGTAACCAAAGAGTTAAATTCTGCTAAACCACTGGTTCAAAACAATCAAAGAGGTTAAGTTTGGGTCATACCAGTTTTGAAGTTAAAAATAAATCCACTCACCAGCCCTGTTCACTTTTAAACTTATAAACCGAGCCCAAGATGTGACAGAGAGCCCCTCCAGCCTTGAAGTCCAGGAAACACTTGGCCTGAAGAGAGAAGATAAACAAAGAGATTCAAGACACAGACATTATGATAGCTTTTGGTTCTGCAAAGAAGGTGTGCTTACAGGTAGCTTGGTAAGAGCTGGATTGTTGACCCTCCGTCCAAATGCATCCTCCTGGAACTGCAGCAGCTGCACCACCAAGCCTCCCAGTGATTTGCTGGAGGGGGAGTCATTCTGAACATACTGAAAAAAAAAAACATAATCATTGAATCATTTACATGCATCACTGACAAAGAAACAGGAAAGCATCTGAAAATGAACACATATATATTACAAGCAGCTACAAAACTTTGGTGACACACAGAAGTCTGCACAGTAACAAATACATGCATGGTCATGGGAATAGGTCTAATTTCGCAATATCTGATATTTTAAACACTATTAACCACAACCTTGCTGCTCATTTAACAAATAAATCTTCAGCTGGGCGACTTGTTGTTGTTTTAACTTTACTAAGTCCTATAAATAATGTGTTCTGGTGTGACATGAAAATATTTACATGCAATCACAGAAATCCTTATTAATCTAAGTACCTACGTTTTTTAAGTCAAAGACACGGTAAGAAAAACATGATTCCAACACAAAAACTGCAAACAAGCAAACTTAAAACAGAATCTAGACTCCATCAAGTTTGCTGTTCAGTTGAACTTTTGCGTTGTTTTTAAATGCGCCTCCATGGGCGTGATGGTGGGTTTGAATAGACACACTCTTTGTTTTGCTGGGCGAGAGAAGCCAGAGGCTGTCTGCCTGATGAGTGTGTTGACAAAACAACACACTGAGGACTCTTTTACACAAAATGCAACAAACACAATTATCTTGTGACTTTCTGAGACCTAAATATAACGTAAAACAGAATGAATGGTGTGTTATGTTTATGTGAATCGTACACACACGGTGCACCGTGACATTTTCGTTAGTTTCTTAGGCCTTTACACCGAATGAGTGGGTCGTATATATTTTTAGCACACAACATAATTTCACATGTGCGTTTTTACTACAATAACGTATCAACAGTTCGACATTCAGTACCTTATTAGAACTAATTTGTTGTGTTTAGCTGACTGAGCGGCTAGCGAGCTAGCTGATGGCAGGCTAACAGAAAAGCAACTTCGCTCCAGCTATCATAGTACGTTTGCATTTAATCGTGTCTAAAAGTGACTGTCTGCACTCTCTTGAGCGAGATTATAAACATGAGTCAACCAGAACAACTACAGCTAAAGTTAGCTTAGTGTACATGAAGGTTATAAACATATCAGCGCTCTATTGTGCCAGCGAGACGCGGGCCTTTATAGAAATCAATGAGGAACACAGCAGCGTTAACCCACCTTCTTGTAGTGCTTCCCGATCCAAAGCCGCACCGTCTCGAGCTGGGACACCGTCTCGGAACTTTCCCAAAATTTCGTGGAAGGACCGCCGTCTTTCTTTCGTCCTACCGCGGTTCCTCCACCGACCAGGCCTGTGGCTGGTCCGCTTGAACCCGTTCCGCCCGCAGAAGTCGCCGCCGTCGCCATTGTGTGTAGCTCACTGCGTTGTCTTTCTCCTCAACGGCATCCCTCGCCGTGCAAGTTTTCAAATGATACTGCGCAGCCGCAAAGTGATCACGAGGTTTATGTGACGCTCATGGGAAATGTAGGCGTACCCCCCCCCCCCCCCCCCCAGATTCACGTGGCAGGGTTAATTAACACAAAAAGTAAGGAGCTGATTAGACAAATCTGCCATGTCTGCAGGCTTCTTATCTACTTTTAAACACTATATTCCTTTTATTTTTACTTAATAGAGTATTTACTTAATGACATTAATGGAGCTCTACAGACAAAAGAACATTTTATGGTATTATTGTGAAACTTCAGTTATGTCGTCAACATGTTGCCACCAGATGGCAGCAATACACTTCTCAGTATGTTTCCTTCTGTTGGGCTTTATGTGCACATCATGTTTTGCTTGAATATTTGGTTGGGTGTTATTTTGAATGACTGGGTAAAGAAACAGAATCCCATCACAATCTTCTATTTTACTCTTCATTTTAATAACTAAAATAGGACATTCAGTAGCATGGATAAAAGGTAAGATAATCTTGCTAAAGTGACATGGGTATGTTCAAGCCAAGCCTAATTAAGAAATGTATTTTATACAAATCTATTTTTTATATTACAGAAGGAAACCATGACGTAATAAGTTTGTTCTCTGAGGTTCAATGGCCATAAACAACATGTGGTGCATCATCGCCACCTATAGGTCTGGAGTGTGGACTGGCACTCCTCTCCTGTCTCCCCCGAAGTCAGTAATAAACTGATTGGAATCCCAGTGGCACCTGCTGGTGCTCCACCCCCTCTGATTGATGGAGGAGCAGATAAAGGTGTGTGTGGCATGGTCCATAATAGTTGTTAGAGCTCTGATTGTTGCATGGTCCATAATAGTTGTTAGAGCTCTGATTGTTCTTCTGCTGTCGAGAGTGTGGTAAGAGATCACTTATTTGGTCATGGCTTCCGAAAGTTTTTCTGTATTTCCTGTCAGTGTTATTTCTCACTCCCACGTTTCCCTTATATAAAAGATTGCTTCCTCCTCTTTTTGTAGTTCATTTATTGTCTCACTAAAGTGCTAAGCACGTTTATAGGTCATAATTCTAGCAATTTGCTTTGAACTCTCTTTAACCTTGCAAACTTATTTTTTTACCTTGTATGTTTTAACCAGCATCATGGGATCCACTGTAATGTTGCAGTTGCTGCTGCTCTGCTTTCCATTGTGCTCTGCTTATGCATATGGTAAGGCTGATTTCAATATTTCATTGCTAGTGACACTTTGACAGTAATGCGCTTTAGATGGGATGTCGTTAAATATCTAAAGAGGTTTGCACAAGATGACTTGTTTTAGTTCCTTCATATCCTATAGAGCAGAGGTTTCCAAATTGGGATATGGGGTCCCTACAATTTTGTCTTTGCTGAGCTTGTGAGATTAGCAAGAATTATAAAAATTACATTTATAAACTCCAAATAACACATCCTACAGTAAAATCAAAACTCCATATATAATTTATAACTCTATGCTGGTAAAAGATGTTAAGTGATTACATTTAATGTGTGTACGCATGTAGGAGTTGGGGGTCCTGACTTGTCTTGGACATGCGCAAGGGGGTCCTGGGAAAAAAAGAAATTGGGAAGTCCTGCTTTAGAGTGGGGTATTCAATTCTGGTCCTGGAGGTCCACTATCCAGCACATTTAGTAGTTTCTCTTATTCAACACACTTGACTCACCTGTGCAATAGCTCATCAGGCTCTGCAGAAGCCTGTCAATCACCTGCTGATTGAAATCAGGTGTGCTGAAACGGGGCTAAAATAAAACTTGCAAGATACTGGACCTCCAGGCCTGGAATCAAATACCCCTACTATAGAATAAATGCTCTTCCCCTTCCAGTTGGCTGAGGGGTCTCTGTGTAAAAGTAGATGGGGCTAAGTTGTATTTTGGTCTGCTTAAAATTGAATGTCCTCATAAGATGACCAATTAGCCAATTGGAAGAGCTCCCTGTTCCTGCTTTATTCTATTCTGTTATGGGGAGGTGGTGCCTCTACCAGCAATCATTGGGTCAATGATCAGGCTCACAGTACACGTTTGTCATCCCAGGACTACAGAAAAGGAAATGGTGCCAAGTAAACAGCTTTTCAGCGTAAGATCTGAGATGTTCCCTGTAAACTAGTTTAAATGCATTTGAAGATTTAAAGATTTGTACAAAAGATTAGGCTTGTTTTTTCTTCTCTCCCTTTTATTAGAAAATGTGGCTCTGCGTGGCACTGCAACACAATCTACACGCTTGCTGGGAAATACCAATGTTTTGGGAATTGCCATCAATGCCATTGATGGGAATCGGAATTCCCAGATGATGGCTGGATCATGTACCCACACGGCACAACAAGCCGATCCCTGGTGGAGAGTGGATCTCCTGGAGTCTTACATAATCGACCACATCAACATCGTAAACAGAGGAGACTGTTGTGCAGAGCGGATCAATGGGGCACAAATTCACATTGGTGACTCAGCAGATTGGAGTGCAAACCCACAGTGAGTAACTGGTGGTGACTCTACAGTCACAAATGAAATTCTTGGCAAATATCCACTTTGGGTCACTGAATTATTTTTTTTTTTTAAATTTAGGGCTGGTACAATTGATCAACTTGCAGCAGGGGACACTTACTCTAGATACTATCAACGTGATGTAAAGGGTCGTTATGTGACTATTTTAATTGCTGGTGCAGACAAGATTCTATCACTCTGTGAAGTGGAAGTTTATGGGTATCGTGCCCCAACTGGTAAGGAAAAGCACATGTGTTATGAACAGTGGAGCATGCTGATGCCAACTTTTTTTAAATCTTTTCCCAGGTGAGAACCTTGCACTAGGAGGAGCAGCCACACAGTCATCACTGTATGCAACTGGTTTTGCATACAATGCCATTGATGGGAATCGTAACAATGACTGGAACCAGGCTTCTTGCACACACACACAGGCTGATCTCCACCCCTGGTGGCGACTGGATCTGCGCACAATGCACAAAGTATTTTCTGTTAAGATTGTCAACAGAGATTCTTTCCAAGAAAGGCTCAATGGAGCAGAGATCCTGATCGGTGACTCTCTTGAAAACAATGGAAACAACAATCCCAGGTGATTTGAGTATAGAAATGTTTTCCCAAATGGGGTTGGTGAGGAGAGAATTCTCCAATAATTTTAATTGACCTATTTTTAAATGTTAAAATGTATTTAAAAAAAGATGATCACTTGTAACATTATGAATTGAGCTTTAAGTTGATTTCTTGTCTACCAGGTGTGGAGCCATCACAAATGCTGTTGGAACTGATATTTTTGAGTTTGACTGCAAGGGGATGGAAGGTCTCTACGTTAATGTCGTCATCCCTGGGAGAATCGAGTTCCTCACTCTTTGTGAGGTGGAGGTTTATGGTTCCAAACTTGATTGATCCAGCTTCAACAAATTCCAGTTAAAGTTTAAAATTCTGCAGTTTCAAGAAGGATGAGAAAATTGCTTGTGAGATCAAGACTTGCATTTACATGGTCTGTATCCAGTCTGTTTTGGACAAGTTAAAAAAATAAATGAATAAAACCATTTGCAACATCACATCTTGAGAATCTCTTAATGCATCCACCAGTGATATGTGAAATTTGAGTAATGTGCATTTTGCCACTAAGCCTTTAGTCATGTCCTCACTACTGAGTAGCAGGTGTTGAAGGGGTAACTATTGTTGCTTTTAAGCTTTAATATATTTATGACCAATAAGCTGTGATTCTGTGATTCTATCTGAATATAGAGTACCATCTTATTAGTCTTAGAATGTTTAATCAGATTTAGGATTCTTCAGTGATCAAACACACTTCATCAATTCAGTCAGGTTTATAAATATATTCTAAAGACAGTGGAATGTGATGTATGATATCAGAACCTTGTATCTGGAAGAAACTGTTCTGGGTGTGAAAGTTGTCTACATTAAACTATGTAGACAATTTTCACACCCAGAAGTCATCAAAACGGCATCAGACGCAATCTTGCTGTGTTCGTGCCCCTGAGGACACTTTTTCAGATGTGTGACGTACGTTACTCAGAAATCAAAAGCTTTATTTGTCCCAGAGGGAAGGGAAATTAGAGTTTCAGTACACACAATTCGAGATCAGACATACTGGGCAAGACACATGACAAGAATTGGTGACTGTGGTCATCCACAGCCCGAGTCGCGCTACCTTAGAGAAAAGGATAACATGAGGAATGGATTCGAGAGGGGGGAAAAAAATGCACTTGACAGCTACTCCCCCCCCCCCCCCCCCCCCCCCCCAGGAGGGCAGCTTTGCTCTGCGAAAAAAACACAACACATGTGTGGATCATGTTTCCCCAGCGTGAGCAGCCATGTACGGCGCTCAGTCACTGTAGCCACAGGTGGGAGGGAGATCTTGGGAGGAGCGCAGAGCACATTTAACTCCTGCAGGTTGATGACCTCGCCAGGCTTAAGTCCACCAATCCGAAGGGTGGGGGGGGTGGGGGGGTGGGGGGTAGGTTGAGTTTTCATAGCATCTGTCTGCATTCCTTCCTTCGTGGGGGTTTGTTGTTGGCATCACAAGGCTGCCAGGGCATCAGATTCATATAACAAGACTTTGGGTCAGGCTGAGATAATTTTCCTCTCTGCCTTCAGTCTGTAACTGATCGTTCAAGTCCTCATGTGAAGCCTATTTTGGTTCTCTGCACTGATTGGCTCGGTTAGAATGATCGGGGTGGGGTTATTTGAAAAGGAGAGATCCCAGACCCTTTCTCTAGAAATGTTAGAGCACTTCATGCTTTCTGCTGCTCAGACTTAATGGAAATAGTGCCAAAGCTACTAGTACCTGGTTTAAGGATCATGGTATCCCTGTTGATTGACCAGTAAACTCGCCCATCTTGTTGAAAAATTAAATCTATCTCCGTAAAGTACGTGCTTAGTATGAGGAGTTGCTGTAAATGACATACCGTAAATCCTCTAATATTAGCCTGTATTTAATTAACTGCCAGGTATCATATTTTGGCCGGTGTCGGAGTCGGCGGAGGTGAATAATGGCCAGTTTTTTATTGTGGCCGGGTGAAATGTGGTAACAAGCAAGTACGGGGGGCGGTTGTGTCCTCCGTCTCACTTTTGATTTGCCAGTGATAGACCGCAAGGGTAACTTTAACCGTGCGGAGACGAAGAGGAGGCGAAAATTTGATGTCAAGTTCAAAGAGAACGTGCTGATTATGCTGCAGAACACTCTGGGGAGCAATAGCAGGGGTTGTATGAACTAGTCACTAGTCGACTTCATCGCTCTATAGCGGCTTGTTATGCCTGTCATCGACTAGTCGCTGTCACGTGATAATGACTGGCAAGATGCAGTCCACGGAAAAGACAGCAGCCTGCTGTCAGCAGGTGACAAGCTCCTGCGCGTCGGGAGGCAACGCGCTGAGCCAGAGCGTCGGTACAGACACCCGCCGTAAAACGGACATTTAACCAAATTGTGACGTTTACCCTCTTGCAATGTAACCTTCCCCTCACCCCATCCTAACCTTAACCAGCTTGAGCATGCAAAGCTCTGATAGTTGACGCGCTCCAGACATCTGCATCCTGAGCACGGCCACAGTAACATTATCAAATCAGTTGTCGTCACCTCAAAAACTAATTTAACACGCAATCGTTCATGTTGGCTCATTTCCTTTTATGTTTTCTGTCTTTTATTTGTGCCTGATGCGTTTCGCTGCTGTGGATCGGGGGCATCACCCGTTTTGTCCTTGGTGACGCACCGATCACTGATGCGGCCGGCGAGCACTCCGCTGTTTTTGCGGTCGGTAGATCTTTTAGAACAGCAGTTCAAAGGTAACTCATAAGGTGAATATATATGAACCCAGGTAGCCATTTTTCTTTAGGATTGAGAGGAGATGCAGGAAGATAATAAACGGGCAGGACAGAAAAATAGTCAAATAAAAACAAGTTAGTTTTTGTACCTGGTGGTTGCAACAAACAGACACCATTGAAGGTAATCATAAGTAAGGAACAGAAAATGAAATAATTATTTTAATGTTTAGAGCAGCAGGAACTCTGAGAGGCTGCAGGCCATCAGTGAGTTTGCGGCGCTGCGCAGGGGGAGGGGGGAGATGGCTGAAGCAGAAACTACCGTTGTTAAAAGAAATGTGTTTAACTTTGAAAATGTGGGCGCAATTTTAATTGTCAAAAACTCCAGCGAACCATTAGTTCATTTTGCTCAAATAGATTGAGGCCTGCCTCTAATTCTGGTCCTCCTTCCAATAAAGGCCTGGAGCTTGAGTCAAATACAGGCCCAGGCCTATATTAGAGGATTTATGGTAACAGAGTGAATTCTGCTGTGACTTGATGCAATTTGCTGGATATCCTTAGAAAACCTTTACCTAACTGGAACAATTATCTGAACACAATTCACTTTTTGATAAAGTAGTTTAAATGAGAATATCAGCTTAGTAAAGTACCTTTAATTGACTTTTGTGAATTGGTGTTACAAAAATAAATTGAACTGAACGGTAAGGTGCTTTATGTGAATAACGCCAGAAAAAAGATGATTTCAATCTTCAGTATTTTAGATAAATTACCAGATAAAAACATTCTCATGTATTCATAGGTTATGTAATACATCTTAGATATATTGTGTTTGCATTAAGTCACAATTAGAAAGTGTTCAGATCAAGTTTTAACATCATGCATCTTAAGTGAAAACAAAATAGAATAACGTCCAATATATATTAATGATTTTATAATCATTACAGGTCCTTCTAAAAAAATTTGCATATTGTGATTAAGTTCATTATTTTCTGTAATGTACTGATAAACATTAGACTTTCATATATATTAGATTACACACAACTGAAGTAGTTCAAGCCTTTTATAGTTTCTAATATTGATGATTGTGGCATACAGCTCATGAAAACCCAAAATTCCTATCTCAAAAAATTAGCATATTTCATCTGACCAATAAAAGAAAAGTGTTTTTAATACAAAAAAAGTCAATCTTCAAATAATTATGTTCAGTTATGCACTCAATACTTGGTCGGGAATCCTTTTGCATAAATGACTGCTTCAATGCGGCGTGGCATGGAGGCAATTAGCCTGTGGCACTGCTGAGGTGTTATGGAGGCCCAGGATGCTTCGATAGCGGCCTTAAGCTCATCCAGAGTGTTGGGTCTTGCGTTTCTCTACTTTCTCATCACAATATCCAACAGATTCTCTATGGGGTTCAGGTCAGGAGAGTTGGCAGGCCAATTGAGCACAGTAATACCATGGTCAGTAAAACATTTACCAGTGGTTTTGGCACTGTGAGCAGGTGCCAGGTCATGCTGAAAAATGAAATCTTCATCTCCATAAAGCTTTTCAGCAGATGGAAGCATGAAGTGCTCCAAAATCTCCTGATAGCTAACTGCATTGACCCTGCCCTTGATAAATCACAGTGGACCAACACCAGCAGCTGACATGGCACCCCAGACCATCACTGACTGTGGGTACTTGACACTAGACTTCAGGCATTTTGGCATTTCCCTCTGCCCAGTCTTCCTCCAGACTCTGGCACCTTTAATTCCGAATGACATGCAAAATTTGCTTTCATCCGAAAAAAGTACTTTGGACCACTGAGTCCAGTGCTGCTTCTCTGTAGCCCAGGTCAGGTGTTTCTGCCGCTCTTTCTGGTTCAAAAGTGGCTTGACCTGGGGAATGCAGCACCTGTAGCCCAATTCCTGCACACGCCTGTACACGGTCGCTCTGGATGTTTCTACTCCAGATTCAGTCCACTGCTTCTGCAGGTCCCCCAAGGTCTGGAATTAGTCCTTCTCCACAATCTTCCTCAGGGTCCGGTCACCTCTTCTCGTTGTGCAGAGTTTTCTGCCACACTTTTTCCTTCCCACAGACTTCCTACTGAGGTGCCTTGATACAGCACTCTGGGAACAGCCTATTCGTTCAGAAATTTCTTTCTGTGTCTTACCCTCTTGCTTGAGGGTGTCAATGATGGCCTTCTGGACAGCAGTCAGGTCAGCAGTCTTACCTATGATTGTGGTTTTGAGTAATGAACCAGGCTGGGAGTTTTTAAAAGCCTCAGGAATCTTTTGCAGGTGTTTAGAGTTAATTAGTTGATTCAGATGATTAAGTTAATAGCTCGTTTAGAGAACCTTTTCATGATATGCTAAGTTTTTAGATAGGAATTTGGGTTTTCATGAGCTGTATGCCACAATCGTCAATATCAGAAACAATAAAAGGCTTGCACTACTTCAGTTCTAGGAAATGAATCTAATGTATATTAAAGTCTAATGTTTATCAGTACATTACAGAAAATAATTAACATTATCACAATATGCTACTTTTTTGAGAAGGACCTGTATATCAACTTGTTTATATTTTAATAACTGAGAAACATTTAGAGAAGTCCCTGAAAGTTTCTGAAACTTTTTAGAGACTTTTAGAAACATTAGCTCACTTGAACGCTCCTAAATGTTTCACACTCATTTGACAATTTATTTTGAACAAATTTGCTCCTTTAAACCAAATGTATGCATTATTGTTTTACCAAAGAAGGGCCTCATGAACTATCGCTGACTAAAACCATTTAATATTTACTAAATGTAATATTAATTTACTGATAACTACCCTAAATTAGAGAGGTGTGTATTTTCCACCAGATGGCAGCAAATTAAAGTTAGGAAAATAATTCACTCCTTGTGCCTCTAAATTAGCCTGGCCAGCCATGGCGGAGCTTCCTTATGACAGAGAGGGAGTCTGGCAGGCCAGGCTTCCTCTAAATGGCAAAAAGATAATAATTAAAGGTGATGTCTCCAGAGAGGACTATTGGTCCTTCAGTGTTTAATTTGGTTCCACATACATATTTTTGATAGCATTCTTATAATATTTAATACAAAAATGACTCATTCATGCCGTACTGTGGTACAACACACGTAACATTATATGTAATATGTTATGAACCGAACTAAAAGCACTGATAAGTAGTTTCAATTGGAACGTTAACTTTGTAAAATGTCTTGAGACAACGCTTGTTTTAAATTTGCGCTACAGAAATGAACTGAACTTAATAGTTTTAGAATCGGGGTGCTCAATCCTGGTCCTGGAGGGCCGGTACCCAGAAGGTTTTGTGGTTTTTCTGCTCCAACACACTTGATTCACTGGTTAAATCACCTGTGCAGTATCTCATCAGGCTCTGCAGAAGCCTGTTAATCACCTGCTGATTGAAATCAGGTGTGTTGAAGCGGGGTTATAACTAAAACCTGCTGGATACCGGCCCTCCAGGACCAGGATTGGGCACCCCTGTATTAGACAGTTAACACCGGTCAAATATAAACTGAATGTAGTCTGCAGACCGGGCTGGAAAACATCTGATTATTCCAACATCAATAACAACTGCTCATTGGATATTCTCTAAGTCCCAAAGATAAATGTGGGTGAAAATCGCAACATATCAACATCTAAAAAAAATATTTCAGACACTTTAATCTCTTTTCTTCCTCATTCCAAGGCTTTTGTTGATCTTCAGTGAGTCCTCTTCACCTAGTTACCAGAGTGTTGAGCTACCGTTACGTGATCAGCTGATTTGCCATTTGTGTAAACGAGTTGTCACACAGTTTCAGTTATTTTGAATCCCAGTTAACAGTCTGGATCGGCAGCTACTAAAGTGAGGAACTGGTGGTTTAATCAGTAAAAAAACAGGTTTTCTGGGCTTGAAAACCCTGAAAATGCAGCTTTAATTACAAGACTTCCTTTGGCAACAAACATGAAATCAAGAAGCACAATAAAAACAACCTTAACGGCTGAACATCAGTATTTTGCAAAACAAGTTTATAAAAGTTTTAACAGGGCAGTTTGAAGAAATATATACAATCTGTTTACTACATCAGACCATAAAAACTTACATGATCAATAAAAGAAAAGCCTGTTTTCTCAGATGAAATGATGTTTAAAACCTGTCTGAGTAAATTCGGTCTAAACACAAATACTGCATGATATGTACCAGATTTAAAAATCCTCCAAACACATCCTAAAATCTCAAAGTTGCATAAAACTACTCACAGAAATAAATTATAAAAATATTTTCCTACTGAAAAGTCTTTTCAGAGATTAACACTGTGCATTGCATTAGGAGAAATCCGCTTTTGTCAAGTTTGTAAAGAGTATTGCTTCACAGTAAGTGGACATCACTGACAGGAGAACTTGACTTCTGAGGTGACGGACGAAGAAAACTTATAATGTAGTAAAATAGTTCCAACACGCTAAATCAGGAGCTATGGCACCTTTTGGTTTCACTTGGACACTTAACAGGTGCAGCAGAAAGACGACTAGAATGACACAAACACTGACCTGTGAAGCCAGAACTCTGATGTGACTCGTGGCATTCCCTTTTTGGTGTGTTCTGCTGATTATTTAGTCACCACTCAGAGAATAATTGGTTTTGGGAAGTAAAAAGTAGAAATGAATTTATGTGACTACAAATAAAACATACAATTACAAATCAGAGATGAATAAAACCGATTAGGCGATGTTCTGTCCGACGCCGTTATCTTACACTTTTGGAGGCTTTGGGGACTTTGAGAACTTTGTAAATGTCATTGGAAAAGACTGTGGTGAAGAAGGGTCGAGAGTTCCTGGACATGTGGGTGCAGAAGGGAATTTTACCAACGTTTTCAGGGTCCTCAATGTCCCAGATCTCTGGCATGCTGCACCCAGGCCTGAAGAAACAGACAGGAGGGGGAAAGCTGGAGTTAAAACTCTACTCTCGCGTGAGAGGGAACCGGTGGAGGTGAGGTTACCTGGTTCGTCTGGTGCACCAGGAGTCCTCCAGGATGAAGAAGTCCACCCCAAGGTTCATCAGGTTCGTCTTCACCGTTTCTCCAGACATGCGGCTGTACATGGAGTAGACCAGTTTGGTTCTCTCCCTGTGAGCAACAATAGTTACACTGTGTTCGTACATCGTGTTATTGATCAGATAACGACATGTTTATGAGCCTGAACATTTTCTCTGTCACTAATAATATCCCATCGGTGTGAGTTAGGAGGATAGATCAGATTAGACCTATATGATCGAGAGTTGGATTAAAAAAAAAACCAAAAAACAGAAAAAAATCCAAAAGCTCAAGTGCCATCGTCTATTACAGATCTTCTTGTTCCAGACGTTCACAACATGTTCTTAAATTGGTTCTCAAACTGTGACTTTTGGTTCCTAGAGGTTCTGAAGTGAAAAGGGGGGCTAAACTTTCAGTTCTCAGGCTCTTCTCTGGTGCAACCAGCTTCCAGTTCCCACCTGTTAAAGCACTGGATTCTTACGCTTTCCCCACAAACAAATTCAAGCACTTTTCAGCATTTTCAAGATAAAATGTGAACTTTTCAAGCACCATACGACAACGACAAAACAATACACAAGGACTCAAAATGAGAGTTTCATCTCACCACACATTCATTAGTTATTAATAGGGATGATCCTATCCAATCATAGGACCGAAAACTGGCTCTGATCACGTGATTTGAAATAACTGGAGTCAGGTGAAAAAGATCGGATATAACCTTATAAAGCAACTAGCATGACCTTTTTAGCTAGCTCTTCAAACAAAATGACAATGGCTTGGTTTCAATTCTAACCCGTCTGCTTTTAGTTTTAGTCTGTCACCTTAAAACCAAAGATAAATCTCCTACGAACAGCAAAAATACAGCCAAGATAGCAGAATATTAATCACACTGGATGAATCTGTGGTTACTGAAGTCCCCTGGAGCTGTGGTATGAGCTGCTTTCTCATCACTGTTGTACACATCCAGCACTACAGGTGCTGAGCAGGGAAGAGCGAGCCTGGGACAACACAGCCACACACTTTTTAAACAATTTGAATGATTAGAGAGGCTAATATTAAACATATTCATAATATTAACATGTTTCTTATCAATATTCTTGCTGAACGAGTTGATGGTTTTTGGCAGCTAAACTGAGGAAATGGCGTGAAAACAGGAAGTTGAGCCTTTCAGTATCTGTAGCCGCTCAGTTTCAGACAGATAACGCTTCTATTCTATGCCAAGTTACAAATAAATAAATACATTTAAGTGATGCTTCAGCCTAATCTCCTGGTTCCTTTACGCTGGACACATTTAACTAACTGGCATTTTAAAACTAACTTTTTTGCAACTGAATAGCATTTGCTGCAATCAATCAGCCTGAATGTAGGCCTGGTTCTTTATAGATAAAATAAACTGGATAATACTGTCGTCTTCATTATCGTCTGAAAATGAAAAATACAATTTTATCTTTTGCTGAAGTCACACAGTTTTGATCAGGATGCTTCACTCTGACGCAAACAAAAAAGACTTTGTCTCAGTGATGATCAGCTGACCTGAGACCAGCGTCTTCGTAGTGGGGATGGTTGACGATTGGCCGACCAGTAGAAAGCTTCACGCTGGCCATGGTGGGCATGGCTCCCGCGAACACAGAGTCTACACCAACAACGAGACAAAACAGAAGATGGAGTCGGGCTGTAGACCAGATCAGTTGAACAAAATCTTTGTATTGCATTTTTATAAAGCTTAATGCGGTTTGTCATGAAAAATATTTTAACAGTCAGTAGAAAAAATAAGCTGCTGTAAAAACTGCTTTAAATTACCGTATTGACCCAAATATAAGACCAGGTATTCTCATTGAAAATAATTTTAAAATGTGGGGTCGCCTAATAACCGGGGTCTAACCATTACAAGCCCATAACAGCAGAGGGCGCCAGGCTTTGCGTTCTCAACAGGAGAAAAAAAAATGGAGAGGAGAGGCCTGGAGCAGAGTGGACCGAAAGTGGGGCGAGTTAACAAGCTATAAGTCAGAGTTATGTGAATCTTAAGAGGACGGTGACAATTCAACAGAGGCGTCAAACACTGCATGCATGGATGAGTTGGATGGCAGTGAGGATGACGTTCTGGGAGGAGTCAGCAGGTGTAGCGATCTGATGGTACACCAGGACCGCAGCAGCATGGGAGTGAGTACAGCGAGGCAGAGGGCGTCTGAATAAAAGCCTCATTTGACTTTTGATTTCACATGTCAGCAAAGTTCTGATAATTTGCATTAAAATTGTATTTTAGCTCAGTATTTGTTCTCAAATTTTGAATAAAAATAGTTTATTTAAAAAGTGTTTTTTTCCTTTCTATTTATTCCTGAAGATTAGTCTTGGGAAGGGGGGTCGTCCTATATTCGGGTGAATATGGTAATTCTGATTGGATGTGTTTAATCACATAGAGATGAAAGAAGTTCTCTCCCAGGGAAAGCAGGTGACGTCACTCACCTGTGCGGGTGTTTTCCCTGACCCAGTCCAGCAACTCCTCCTGCGGCAGGTTGCTGAACTCTCCGATAATCGCCCACTGAGCCTGCAGGTTGGCTGCTCCCTGGATAGCCATCATGGCCATGACTGCAACAACTACAACCTGGTGCTTGAACTTCTCACCAATCCAACCAAACAGCTGGTAAGATAACAATAGAACATACATATCCACATCCCAGACACAACGTCTACACTTGTAACACAAGAAAAACACCTGAATGGGAAAGAGGTTGTTTAAGGTGGATGTCTGTGTTTATAGTAGATGATTAACGAGAAGAGGCAGACCTGTTTGGAGCAGATCAGCGAGGCCATGATGCACATGTGAGGTGTCAGGAAGAGCTTCAGGCGCATGATGAGGATGGCGAGCACGGCAAACGCTACAAGCTGCAAGCTGTGGTACACCAGCTGTCAAACACACACACACACACACACACACATCAACTTTTTTCAAATTTCACAACTATATGCTAAAAACAGAATACATTTTACTGAAAGGCTCAAATAAAACAGCAGCTACATAGATATAAGTTTTATTTTCATTAATAACTGATTAAGTTTATTCTGCTTATTTTAGAGCAGCTATTTTTTTCCAGGAAAACTAGCAGTTTCAAAAGTCTTAATTTGTTTTTTAAATTATTCAATTAAAATATGTTTAAACCTACACTATTTAAAAGCAAGTTATTTTTTAATGTTTACAAGGTTCTGCTAAATAGTTATGTCAGAATAAAAAATAAACACCAAATCTGGGCTCTTGGGAGGTAAAATCTGTGTCCAGCTGTGATCTATTTTATTCCTAACCGAATTAGAGCGTCACGTCAGAAGTCACGAGGAAACATTACGGTTATTATGAGAAAAGTCTGCTGCTGGGCGCTAAAAGCATCTGAACACTTTTCTGTCCAGGGAACAATATGAGATGAAGCAGTTGGGAGAAATCTGACAAAAGGCACCAACGTGGAACTTCCTGTCAGAGAAGCTGCCTTTCATTTCTAGGTAACGGCAAAAAGAGATGAAAACCGCTGAGGGACGCAATAACTGATGATTTCACAGCTCCGCAGAAAACACTGCAGTAAAACCTCGACACATATAAAAATAAAACTGAATGAAATAAACACATATTTATGTTACTATTAAAACAACATAAAGGATGTGAAGCTTGATTTTCTCACCTCTCCTTTAGCGGCTATTTCAGATCTGCAGGAAAGAGCAGACAAAAATGTGAACCCTTTCATGTCCAAAACCATTTACTAGAAACGCAAAAGCATGAAAGGATCAACTCACTGCTTATAAATACTTAAAAAGCAACATAAGAACAAATGAAAACAGTAAAGCAGAAACTAGGTCAGCGATGAAACCTCACCCTTCTGCTTCATCACCATCCTCAGGTTTCACAGAAGTCTTCGCTCCGTGGCTCAGAGTCTGTAGGACATCCTGAACGGTCTGAAGAATATTCAGGATAGAACAAATCAGACTTATTTTTTTCAAGGTGATGGTTTAAGAGCTTTAAAACTGAATTTCTGTGTGAGAACATCTCCCCAGTAGATGCCTACTGAGCTGTGCCATATCAAGTGGTGTATTCTTGGCTTAGCATGGGTAAACATAATAAGATTAAACACAAAGCCGTTCCTTAAATATGATTTTATTTGGTGTTCCTCTGCTGAAAGTGTTTTTTGAGACAGAAGTCAGTTAAATAAAATAATTTTATGGTCTAACAGAAAAATAAAGGATGTAAACAGCGCAAAGAAAACCATTCAAATGTAAAAAAGTACACTTCTGGTTGTATGAGAAGTAAATCACAGATAAATGGTTTTAAAATTATTTCGTTTTCAATGGCACAAATCTGAAGCCACAAAATCAACTTTAAGGGTTTATTTTTGAATATGTTTTTTTCCCAGCTAATCTTACATAATAGGTGAGTACCTGTGAGATGAAGTAGCGTAGGTTAGCAGTTAGACCTGCCCACCCCCATCCACCCACCTCCAACTGTTCCCAAAGAAGCAGGTTGAGATTCTCTATTTCTGTTAGACTTGAAACGTGAACAAGATCTCAACAAGGTTTTATTTTTGCTATTTGAGGCTTTAATGCATGCTAAAAAAGTTAAACGCTCCATATTTATCTTGTAATAAATGACTGGCTGTCTAACCCTGTTGTGAGCGGTAAAACTGCTGTAACAGTGACTCACTGCAAGCTGCATTAGAAAAGTAAAGGTGAGAAGAAAACTAGATCCACAGATTTGGAGTAAAAATCTTTGATTTGTGTCTCTGGTGAGAATTAGAAGATGGGATTTTCTTACTTTATAGCACAAATTCTTATAACAGCACCATGTTAGCAGGTTTCATTGCAACTGGACTCACCCTGGCAGCAATGAGAGCAACCACTGACATGTTGACAGGCAGCAGCAGCGTTTTAAGGTAACGTACTGGAGTCTGGCAGACGAGAGACAAAAAAAAAAAAAACTTTTTATTAAGAGAAAGAAGCACAAGCCTTTAGTCTACCAGTGAAATCTCATGTTACAGACTGTTCATTAAACATAGAGGGAACATAAAAGTAAGACATTCTGGATCTGAATAAATGAAATATTCTTTGTTCTTTATATAGTTGAATGTGCCGACAACAAAATCACACAAAAATCATCAATGGAATCATATTTATTAATCCATATAGGTCTGGATTTAAAATTTCAAGGATTTAAATTTACCGTAGTTTTCAGAACTCTGGACTGACACACACACACACACACACACACACACACACACACACACACACACACACACACACACACACACACACACACACACACAGCACAAATCTAAGCTCAGAACAAGCTGTCACCACAGATCTGGTTCCGTCTAAGCCCTGCCATGAAGCAGCAGACATTTAGTCATTCTGACATCTACAATAGAAACTGAGTGGCATTTTAAAACCAACGTTTGGAAAGAGATTTAAACGTAACTGCGCGAGGCGCGCTTTCTTATCAGTCTGATGTGATGAGACATTTGGCAGCAGAAAAATAAACATCAGCTGTGACAGAAAAACACATTTTTGGTACAACCAACATTACCTCTAACTCCATGAAGTCAAATTCAGCGGCGCACGTGTACATCAGGGTGTGGAAATCTTTATAACTCGTGAACTTTGATTTGATCAGTGCACTGATGTGAGCCTGCAGAGCAGAAATAGTTTGTTTAAATTACAGCCTAATATCTCAACTGAATACTTTCCAGCATTTGACAATGCTAAATTTGAAGTAATTTATCATACAGTTAATTTAGAGTGTGTCAAACGGCGTGTGCCTTTTTACAACTTGGATGAAACGTTGTCCAACATTTCTTTGCTTTCGTACAATGATTACTAAGAACGTAAAACAGTCAATTTTTTAGTGTAAAAAGAAAAATTCTTCTCTGGAAAATATTAAATGCCTTAAAATAAGGTAAATATTCTTAAATATGATCCAAATTTCCTTGTTTTGAGCAAAAAATTAAATAATTTGCCGATGGGGTAAGCAAAATTTGCTTGGCTAGAAATCCTAAAACTAGCAAAATAATCAAATTTTAGGTTTATTTACTAGTTTTAAGATTTTTAGTCATGCAAATTTTGCTTACCCCATTGGCAGATTTTTTTTGCTCATAATAAGGGAATTTGGATCATATTTACCTTATTTTAAGTCCTTATATTTTTCTAAAGAAGAATTTATTCTTTTTTTTGTGACTAAAAATAAAATAAAATGTCTAAAAATGAGGATTTTTTAAAACTTTCTTAGGAATCAGTTTTTGCACTCCTCTGAGCATCTGTTATCTATGAAGTGATGTAATATGATTCACACACATAAGATATGGTAACTTACATCATCGGAGGCGCCAAATACTGTGGAGAGCACAAACTTGAGCAGAACTGTGGAGCCGACCCACGCCAGAACCTGCATGACCTGCAGATGAAGACACATGCAAGTCAGTCTGGTCGAGTGATCAAAGCCCCTCAGAGGTACAGGGAGGAGAACAGGTCTGCAATTTAATGAGACTGACTGACAAAAGTGGAAAACAAATTAACTATCTGCAGAATTTTAATTCTTACAGCTTGAGTTTGGACAATATCTAGACAAATGCTATACAGAATAAGGCTGTGCAACAAAAACATAAATAATCTTTATCAATTTGACAATAATAAATCTGGATTGCAAAGCGATCATACGCAACAAAAATGGAGGCTTTCCAAATAAAAACGTAGACTATCGTTGTTAATCAATACTTTCAGGAAATTTTATTTAAAAAAGATGCTGGCAGATATGTGACACCCCCTCATCCTACTCCTGTGAGACATTTATAAACCAACCAAACCACACTGTGAAGAGCTAAAGGAGATGATGAAACTGAACCTTCATACCCAGATCACAACGCCAGGTTTGAACAGCTGGGTAAATCGGCCTCTCAAAGCAATGATCACCTAAAAGAGCAAATAATAACAGTTCTTAAGTAAAACTCAGATTTAGTTGTGAATAATCAACATAAACCTGTGGCTGAACTCACCCAGATGGAAATGAGTGAAGAGGCGTAGAAGGATGTGAGGAGCATGGAGTTACCAAACATCAGGATGAAGCAGACGCCGAGTGTGACCTGGAGAAAACGTTTTATGAGCCCTCAGTCATTCATTAGAGCGAGATGTACACAGCGGGCCGTTCTGTAATTAATCACTGATCTGAGACCAGCGGTTCCCACCAGACAAATAACTGGTTGGAAGCATCATCTCTACCTCAGTTCAGCAGGAGGCTGGTCTGGATATCCGCATTAAGTGATAATAATCCGTCTAGCAAATGCATTAAACTGTGAATTCATTGCTACAAGGAGAAAATAATCTCATTCAATGAAGTCTTAACACTTAATCCCAGCGAAGTGCAGAAAACTGAATCACTCAGCGTGACACAGTGATGACCGAACAGGGATGCTTATAATCGAGGGGCTCTCGCGCGTTTACCAGGTGTTTGTAAAAAGGAGCAAAGATTAATGTAAAAGGCTTAAAATGGAAACTTCCCTTCACACACGGAGGCAGCGGTGCTGCAACCAAAAATACTAATTCATAGTTATCAGGCAGGGTTGGTGACAACTGAATGAGTTGTTCTAAACTACTCTAGGCTAATAAAAAGATAAAATGGATATTATTCATTTCTGTTTTCAATTTTAAAACAAGTATAGAGATCAGAAAAGTTGCTGCAGGTTAGAAACAATCAGAATTAAAGAAACATTCAAATTAAATCAACATTTAAGCTCAAATATGTGTTATCAGTAACCTCTGAATCAACAGGATTAAAATTCTTATTAATAATTATGATATGCAAAGATCTCTCCTCTGATTGGCTAACAGCAAAACGACTCTTCCGCTGCCTTCGTTCTTTCTTAGGTTAAAAAAACGCAACGTTGATGTTTTATCTCGACAATTAAAACAAACTCGAATGTGTTCCGCCACGTTGTGCAGCTGCTAATGCTATTGTTTACCTTCTACTAGCCGAGACCTTCTGCGCTCTACTTCCTGTTGGTGGTTCCAAACCAAGGTGGGCGGGACTTGGAAGAGAAAGGCTTGTCTGACCCAACAGTTTTCCCTTCTATTTCCTTTCCGCAGCTAATGCAGACAATGGGGGTTGGAGAACATTTGCATGTTCAGCATGCAGAGTGACCAATCATATTTCTAAAAGAATAAGTATTATATGGTTTCTATGGAAACCAGACTTTTAATCATTTTAATAAGGAATATTTAACATTAGAAAATCAATCTACAGGTCTGATGCACAGCATGATGTTCTTGAGTTGCTTTGGAGGAGCTAAAACGTGCCCAATAAGCAAGGAAGATTTTGCAACATCTTGCTATATCCTGTATGTTGGGGCCGATTTCTTCATATTACATGGAAATGACTCACAGCCCACCTCTTAACATGTGTCAGCAATTTTTAGGCCAGACAGAACACACATTCAGAGCTGTGTGTCGTTTCCATTTTTAAAAACACAAAACCAACGTCTCCATCGCACAATCCTAAATAAATTATGTAGAGCCATCTGACACAGATCTCTCCATAAGGTCCTTGTTCTTATCGGGGGTGGACAGAGATGGCAGCGGGCAGACCGGAGAGCTGAGGATTAGGTGGAAATGAAGCCAAAAGGAACAAACTGCTGCATTTTTCTACACCATCTTGGTTCACACTGGTACGGTATTTGGCAGGGTGGAACATAAAGCCCACGCATTATCAAGTCTCATGTTCAAAAGGCAACTATACATGTGTCGTGATGCTAATGCTAATGCTAAAGAAAGCCATCTGTCTCTCTGGTGATCTTTGCGATTCTGTGAAGCCCTGTCAGAGTGAGACGAGACTGAAGCGGAGGACATCAGCTGTCTGGTTATGGCTGACACAGACGCTCTAGAGCAGGGGTGTCAAATATGCGGCCCGCAAGCGGGTTAAATCCGGCCCGCGAGATGGTTGTGTAAATTTTATTTTCATACTTTACAATGTAGAGTTAAAATAAACTAATCTTTGTGAGCAAGTTTTCTCTGTAATGAGTATAAATAAAACAAAGCTGCGCTTAAGGCTCACACAAGAACTTGAATCACATCCTGATGTTGTCTGCCACTCAGGATGTGAATTCTGCTATTGATGTGCTGGTGAAAGCTAAAATATGTTAGGTAAAATTAGTCAAATATACTTTACATGCTGCATGAAACTGGTCTAGCCATGTGATCTGTAAGCTCTTTGAATCACTAAGGAATGTTTTTTTAATTGTTGATTTTTTAATTTTTTTCAAATTTCAAGTACACTTCGGGTGATGTACTTGTACTACACTGTCCTCAGGCTCCAGCCTTGTTTTATAGTGATTGTATTAAAACAAAGAAAACAATCTGAAGTTTTTATTTTTTATTTACCGGTTCGGCCCACTTGGGACTAGATTTCCCTCAATGTGGCCCCTGAGCTAAAATGAGTTTGACACTCCTGCTCTAGAGAATGGTATGTTTATATTTTGACATGAATTCTATAACTGATGAATTAAGTTTAGGTGGAGCAGCGTGGTATAATTCAGTCACCCTACAACAGGTTAACACAGATGAGGAGCCTGGGATCTACTGTACCATGTGAGTGACAAGGATGGCCTGCATCTTGGCAGCAGCAAGGTAGCCCAGGATGTAAGACGCAAACAAAGAAGCCACCTAAAAATACAAGAAAGCAGACGGTTTTAGAAAACTTTAATTTATACACACCAGCACTGGCTCTCACATCATAACAACTGAACAGTAGCTGGGATGACTGTACGATTTATAATCTCTATCTTAAAACAACCTCTGCTCGCTGAATTTTTTATGACTCACCTCTGAGGCTGGGACTTTAAAGCTCATGAAACTGAAGGAACTGGAGCTCTTTTATGAGGAGGAAAAAACTGCATTGCCAAGGACACGCTGCCAAGGATGCAAATCTGCTTAAGCTCAGACTGCAGGGAGTCAGGAGGAAGGGAGGTGTTCTGAGAATAGAGGTCGACTGCGGCTTTGCTTTCTTCCACACCAATCTTCACTCACTGGACAATAAAGCAGCTGCTGGGCTGCAGCAGATTAGGAACGTTTGTATTTTCTCTGGACTGAAACGCAGATGCACTACACTTATCAGCTTGATCCCAAACTGGACGAGCATTGAAGGTGAACTCTGTGCACAAATATTGATCAACTAAAAAAAAAAAAAGGCTCAATTGCATGCTCAGCAAATTTTGTGTCTTTGCACCCATCACTGATTTCTCAATTTTATTTAGAGAACTTCCTTTTCCATTACCCTGTCAGCCCATCATTACTAAAATATCCAGCCTGACAGAGAGAAACTGGTTTTAGCAGGTTCTTTTCTGTATAGAGAGGCTGCCTAAAATAAAAAGCCGTGAAAGTACAAGAGAAGAACAGACTCTGGGGGCCAACAACACCAATTTTCTTGGATTCCAATAAATCTAAACGACAACAGAGATAATACTCTTTTTAAAGGTGTGGGTCACAGTTTAATACAATACATTGGAAGTGGTCTCTAGTAGGAATGAATGCCTTGCGGGCGGGTCGTGCTTGGGGGAAGAAAAGCTCTGTTTCAGGAACTAGCAGAATGCAACATCAGAGCCGAGCTTCAGACGACTGGATTTGGAGTCTTATTACCTGATATGTGGACATCTAGCATCTGATTGTCTAACAGCAACGGGACTACCACTAACTCTGCTCTGCAACGCTGATGTTTTATTTCCACAAATAACACAAGCCTGGAAGAGCTCTGCTGTGTGGTGGAGGTGCTAATGCTAACGGTTAGCTTCTGCAATACACTCTGCTGTTTCCTGGATGCTAAACCCCATTGTGAGTCAAGATGGGCGAGTCCACGAATGTGAAGTGACAATTTGACATGAAAATCTCAGAGAAACTGATTATAATCAGAAATAATAATTAAAAATAGTTTTTACACCTTTAAATATTATGATTCACTTTAAAAACTGTGATTCTAGAAGTAAACATTGCCATTCCTAGCAGGAATAACTTGTTTTATTCTTTGCTGCCTGGCCACAAAGCAAAGGACCTGTTTGCTTAAGTTTCAGATTAGCTGATCACAGATCAGGTGGCTCAAACTGAAACTGTCCAGTTCCAGTCACCAGGAAACTTACTGGTGCAACTTTAACAAGTAAAGTGACATCATCCCAGTGAAACATTCATAAAAAAACAACTACATTTAAATAGATAATTTAAGGAAAGCTGTATGTAAAGTGACCCGTGTGTTAACAGATCCGAGCTAAACACTGTGTGCTAAACTTTAGAGAAAAGCCGACGGGATGATTGTTTTAAAAATCTGACATCTCTCCTCTCTGAACTGATGACTAAAACAGTGTAGGAGGAGGATTTCTGCCTTGGGTTGTCTTTTGCATAAAGATGAGGCCAATAGGTTTAATTAGTTGTTACCAAACATAAAAAAGGAAGAAAAAAAATCACAAACATTTCTTTTGTTAAGATCCTTGCAGAAGGCAGCAGTGCTCTGAGGGGGCTGCATAAGCAGCATAACACCGTTAGTCCTTCCTAACATAATCTGTAATCTCCTCATGTTTCCATAGAAATGTCATTTTCAGCGCCTGTCCACAATCCAGCAGGCTTTCTTGCCTCTTTATTTTCTTCCCGTTCATGAATTGTACTTGATGCATTAACTTAGTCTTACTCCCAGTCTATTTTCTCTGTAATCTCTCTACTGCCTCTTCTTTCCTCCCACTTTCACTCTCCCGCTGTGTCTCTTGCTCCGTTTACCTGGGTGAGCAGCACAAACTGGGCGAACTGCCAAGGCAGCATGAAGCACAAATTGGAGATGCCCAGAGCGACCAGCGCCGTCCTGCTCGGGCTCCGGGATCTGGAGGAGAGGTGAGAAGAGACAGTGGAGGGGAAAATAATCAAGTGCTAAAAGTCTGTTTGGGGAGGTGAGATGACAAAAGGTTGGATTAAGATGCTTTCAGGAAACACTATAAAAAATAAAGCTTATTCTCAGCTGATGGTTTCCTACAGTCTCATACAACCCAAAGTGTTGTTGACGAGCTGTACGATACGCCAGGAGAATGTTTCTCTGCGACAAATGCTGCAGCCCTACTTTGCCGACTTCAGAAGCTTCTTCTAACATTTTTCAAGCACGGCTTTAATTACTTACGGGAAACTAAAACTAAACAAGTGCCTTCCAGAATGGCTCTGTTCTAGCAAACGCTGACAGCTTCATTAGAAATACCTCAAAGTTGCTGCAGTGCAATGAAACGAAAACCCTGCTTCAACCACAACTGGAAGATGCACTCAATAGTAAAAACTAGGGGTGAGAATGTAACACGCTAATTCTGATTAATTAATTAGAAAAGAATTAATGCATTTAACCACCTGGGCTCGAGGGCCCCCATATTAAGAGGGCTTTGAAGTTCAGCACCAAAACACATGCACTAAATGTCAATAAATATCGTCATGCTGCACCTCTAAGAAAACCTCAGAACCTGAAGACCACGCAAACATTTTTAAGTGCTCCCAACACAACTAAAGCTAAAATCAAATGAGTGATCATACCTTTGATGTTTCACTTTGAAAGGTTAGACTATCTTATCGTTTACAAATAGCTCTACCTCTTGTGTCACGCTGAAAACAGTCTAAACAGAAACCAAAGTCATTTTCACTGAATAAAACAGGCTTCAAACTCAAACATCCAGTAGGACTTCTCTCTTTCCGTGTTTGTGTATGTCAGCGTTATGACGAGTCATTGGCTGACTGAGCTGATATCTAATTTGGTGAGTAACGCTTGACTCTATTGGCCCTAAGGATCCAAAAGAGGTGTAATTCACCCAAATTAACTAATCAGTCACAGAGACAGAAGGGTGCGTAGTGAAGCTTCTGGAATAGCTCCAGCCTATGCCAGCAGCGTGTTTTACACGTCCCACAGGAGCAGCTCAAACTAGGGATGTCCCGTTTCGATATTGACATAGGCCCAACACTGTATTGGATTATATCGGACTGCATCTAAAATCTCCAATATTAGCAGTACGTTCCGCTTTAAATTCTATTCCAGCAGCACCCAGACCCAGCATGCAAAGTCCGTGAGATCAGAACACAAAGTAGCAGGGAACGATGTCAGCCATGTGGCTGTACTTGTCGTTAAAGTCCAAAAAAGACAGTTTGGCTCAGTGCAACACTTGTCATGCACAAGTTTGTCGTGGTGGAAAAGAACCAGGAAGATTAATACACCCAACTTCATCGCGCATTTGAAGCAGGATCACAAAACATAGCATGAGGATTTTCACAGTGTGTGAAATTGAAACTTTAGACACAACTTGTAGCAGTCGTTTAGTGAACAATCTTGTGCTTTCTTCCTTATGTCCCTAACCTCAGCTGTTCACATTTAAGCAACCAAAGATTAATAAAAAATTGGTCTGTTGAAAATTGAAAAGGAAGCCCCTGTTCTGGTAGTGATTGGTAGGTCATTCCACATTTGTGGAACGATGCATGAGAAGATCTGGATTGTCCTGAGCGTGGTGTAGGCACTGCTAGCCGACGATCCTGTGATGAACGGAGCGGCCAGGCCGAGATGTAAGCTTTTGCAAGAGGATTCAGGTAGATGGGAGCCGTACCATCTCAGACTTTGTATGCTCATGTTAGCAATTTGAATTTGATGCGTGCTGCTAGCGGTAGCCAGTGGAGCTCAATGAACAGAGGGGTGACGTGTGCTCTTTTTGGCTGATTGAAGACCAGACGTGCTGCTGCGTTCTGGACCATTTGAAGAGGTCTCACAGTACAGGCTGGAAGACCATTTAGAAGGGCATTGCAGTAATCGAGGCGGGAGATGACAGTAGATTGCACCAGGAGCTGGGTGGCATGTTGTGTTAGGTATGGTCTGATCTTTCGTATGTTATACAGCGCAAAGCGACATGAACGGGCAACAGAGGCAACATGATCTTTAAAGGTCAGGTGTTCATCAATCACAACACCCAGATTTCGAACTGCCTTTGAAGGAGTCAGAGATAGGAAGTCATTTTGGATTGAGATATTGTGCTGTATGGATGGTTTTGCTGGGATGACAAGTAGTTCAGTTTTAGAGAGGTTGAGTTGGAGATGGTGGGATTTCATCCATTTTGATATGTCAGAGAAAGTTTGATATTCATGCAGAGACAGTGTGGTCGTCCGGTGGAAATGACAGATAGAGCTGTGTGTCATCTGCATAGCAGTGGTAGGAGAAGCCATGTGATCGAATGATCTCACCCAGTGAGGTGGTGTATATGGCAAAGAGAAGAGGTCCTAGCACAGAGCCCTGGGGGACTCCTGTGGCAAGATGGTGCACGGTAGAGGATTGTCCAAGCCAAGATACACTGAATGATCGTCCTGTGAGGTACAATTCAAACCAGGCATGTGCTTTCTCTGTGATGCCCATGCTAGACAGTGTGGACAAAAGGAAGCCATGGTTGACAGTGTCAAATGCAGCCGATAAGTCGAGCAGGATAAGCACTGGGGATTTGGCAGTCGCACTAGCTTCTTTTAAGGATTCCGTCACTGCTAACAGAGCAGTTTCAGGGAAGTGGCCCTTTTTGAACCCAGATTGGTAAGGGTCAAGCAGACAGTTTTGTGTGAGGTATTCTGTGATCTGCTTGAAAGATATAAAATATGAAATAAGTAAAAGTATGTATGATTTGTGCTGATATTATATCGGATTGATATCGGTATTGGTCAATACTGAAGGCTGCAATATCTGCATCATATTGGAAGTGAAAAAAGTTGTATCGGGACATCTCTAGTTCAAACCAACTTTATTTTCCTGTTTTTAATTGAAATACAATTAGCATTTTTTTTTTAGAAATAAAAGAGCTTACATTTAAAATAATAATGTCCCTGTCTATTGTTTGATTCTCTGCCTCATTATTTTAATTTTAAAAATTGTTTTCGGGGCAAATTTTCTTGAAATATTAAAATGCAAGATTAATTAATTACAAAGCCTCTAATTAATTAAATTATTTTATTATTTAAGCCCCACCCCTATTAAAAATACATAATGGAGCATTTACTTAAATAACTCTCTAAATTTTCATCCCAAAACAAAATTATCCAGAGAGCTTTCGTTCTGAAAATAAAGCACAAAACACATTTTATGATGCTGACTGGAGCAATCCTGCAACAAAACTGTGAAAAACACATAATTACAACCTAGCTTTGAGAGGTGGTGAATCTATTTCCTACTGTGAGATTAACAGAAAACTGCAGCATGAAAATAAAAAGCAAATTTTATTGATTTTGAGAGACAGCAGTAGCTTTCTTCCAATTAATGGGACCCATTGACTCTTTGGCAGCAACAAGGTGTCTTTCGGTGCTCTTCCTTATAAAATAACAACCAAAAACAAAGAGAGAAATAACCACAAACATAACTAAACCTAATGAGTTGTGATTTTACCGCAGGATGTAGGTGAGGAGACGCATCTGCAGGACGAGAAATGGGTATGCAAAACTCTCCCTCAGGGGTGGAGTCCACATCACACGAGTGCTCTAATTTCACAAAAGGTCACAGAAACAACAGAGGAAAAGCAAAATGCATAGAAATGCTTAATAATTCCTCCTCTGCAGCTTCTAGATAAACCTGATTAAGTTCACACATGATTAGACGGTTCCGTTGGTGTTTAGGGTTTCTTAGCTCTTAGTAAAGATGGTTCACTCACTTCACCGTGGTTGAAGAAAAAACAGGCCGTGGTAACAATTCCACCCAGGCGACTCCCACTGAAAAAAAATAAAAAGAAGTCAGTAAAAATAAGGGAGTCTTCTGTTTGGATGCATACATCTGTCAGCGAGATGAGACAGAGTATGTTGGGCAGGTAAGAACCTACCTGAGATAAGCTCCGTAAATGAAGAACAGGCTCATCATCAAACCATTCAGCAGGAAAACACAGGTTACATAGAAATATGCCGGGTCCCCCATGCCTAATGTGCAGAGCACACACACAAAGTGTTCAGTCAACCAGTAACAAACAACAGCAGACAGAGAGCCGTGCTGTTTATGCCGAGGTGTGCATGAAACCCACAGGTTTACAGCCTCTGAGGCAGAAATAGCCCTTGAAGAAGGTTGCATGTCAGCAGAGATTTGTTCTCCTCATGAAGACACAACGACCCCCTGCTGCAGACTCTTGATAAAAAAAATATAAATATTCATCATAATCAATATTCTTGGCTTCAATTCCCATTTAAGAAGAAGAACATGAGTCCTGCAGCAGCTTTCAAGAGAGACTAAGCAGTTTTGGCTTGCTTTTAGCACCCTCTAGTGTTGGTTTAGTAGAACCAAAAGAAAAACTTATCCCCTCGCTGTGCGTTCGTCTTTTTAACAACCTAATTTGAGAGCTGAAATGTCTCCCCAGCCTTCGTTAGTGTCTACAGGGGCAATTCATGACTAACTTAAAAAAATTCTGCTGTGTTTATGATCTAAACATGCTGGAAGCAGACTGCAATGCCAGTTGTGTCAGCTCCATTTTTTTTATAATAATAATAATAATATATTTTATTTAAAAGCGCCTTTCAGAACACCCAAGGTCACTTGACAGAAAATACGTTCAGAAAATACATTAAAACAGCAACAAAAACCACAATAAAACGCAAAGAAGAAAAAAAAAACAAAGAGAGAAACTGTTCAATAAAATCAGAGGTCATAGGCAGATTTAAACATATGTGTTTTGAGTTTGGTTTTGAAAAGGGTAAAACTGTCTATGTTCCTGATGTCTGGGGGGAGTGAGTTCCAGAGACGGGGAGCAGAGCGGCTGAAAGCTCTGCTCCCCATGGTAGCGAGACGGGCAGAAGGAACAGCAAGATGGGTGGAAGAAGAAGATCTGAGAGAACGGGAGGGGATGTTAATACTTATAAGGTCTGAGATATATGGAGGAGAGAGGTTATGGATGGCTTTGAAGGTATGGAGGAGAATTTTAAAGATGGACCTGAATTTAACTGGGAGCCAGTGAAGCTGCTGGAGAACCGGCGTGATGTGGTGAAAGGAAGGGGTTCTGGTGATAATACGGGCTGCTAAATTCTGGACCAGTTGCAGTTTATGAAGGAGTTTGTTGGGGAGACCATAAAGAAGTGAATTGCAACAGTCGAGATGCAAGGTGACGAGGCTGTGGACGAGAATGGCGGCAGTGTGAGGGGTAAGGGAGGGGCGGAGACGGTTTATGGAACGGAGATGGAAGTATGCTGACCGAATTATGTAATTAATGTGAGCTTGAAAAGAAAGTGAGCTGTCGAGGATGACACCCAGACTCTTGACCTGAGGGGAGGGGGAGACTATGGCGCTGTCAATAGTTAAGGAAAAGCTGTCAGATTTTGAGATGGTGGATTTAGTGCCAACTAGAAGACATTCAGGTTTATTGCCGTTGAGTTTGAGGAAATTAGAGGTGAACCATGATTTGATTTCTGAGAGGCAGAGGGTAAGGGAGGATGGTGGGAGAGTTGAGTTGGGTTTACTGGAAATGTAGAGCTGGGTGTCATCCGCGAAGCAGTGAAACTGGATATTGAATTTGCGGAAGATGTTGCCGATAGGGAGGAGATAGACTATGAAGAGGAGGGGCCCCAGGACAGAGCCCTGGGGCACACCTGACTTGACAGGGGAGGGCTTTGAGGAAAAGGATTTTAACTGGATGAACTGAGTGCGGCCAGTAAGATAAGATTGAAACCAGCGGAGGGGGGTGAGAGTGATGCCTAAGGAAGAGAGTCTATTGAGGAGGATGGGATGAGAAATGGTGTCGAAGGCCGCACTCAGATCGAGGAGAATGAGAATGGAGATTAAACCAGAATCAGCAGCAATGAGTAGGTCGTTGGTGATCTTGATGAGAGCTGTTTCTGTGCTGTGGTGGGGACGGAAGCCAGACTGAAACTGTTCATAAAGGTTATTGCGGGTGAGATGGGAGTGCAGCTGAGATGCAACAGTTTTCTCTAGGACTTTGGAAATGAATGGAAGGTGGGAAATGGGATGGAGATTATTGAAATCATTGGGATCTGAACCAGGCTTTTTTAGAATAGGGCTGATTGAAGCGGATTTGAATAGGGAGGGGACCGTACCAGAGGATAGTGAAGAATGAATAATGGCCGTTATAAAGGGGAGCAGGGAAGAAAGGCAGGATTTAACTAAAACAGTTGGAAGGGGGTATAGTTGACAGGTGGAAGGTTTGGACTTGGTGATGTAATCTAATAGTTCTGAGGGATGGGGAAGTTCAAAGGAGGAGAACTGAATGGAGGGTTCAAATAAATCAGGGGAGGGAGGGGAGGAATGAGGTAAAGAGAGATGGATTCTATTGACCTTATCATTAAAAAACTGAAGGAGAGAGTTACAGGTTTCTGAAGAGTAAAGATAGATGGGTAAGGAGTCGGGAGGCTGAAAAATGCTGTTCATGATGGAAAATAATGTCTTAGTATTGCTGGAGTTGGACGCGATGAGACCGGAGTAATACTGTGATTTGGCATGGGAGATGGAGTCCTTGTAGAGAGAAATCTGAGCAGAATATAAATCTTTATGGATGGTGAGACCAGTTTTCTTGTAGAGTCTTTCAAGCCTCCGGTTAGTAGCTTTCAAGGAGCGTAGGGCAGGGGTGAAACATGGAGCAGACCAAGTGACCGTTATTGTACTGAATGACAAGATCAATGGGACTAGAGGATAAATTTGAGGTCAGGGTGGCAAAGCTGGAGGAAAGCGAGGCTAGATCAGTGTCCTTAATATTACGAAATGAAATGATACGGGGTGACTTGATGATGGAGACACAGGGGAACAGAAAATGAGATGAGGAAGTGGTCCGTGAAAGAGAGCGGGTCAGCTGTACAGTTGGAGGGGGTCAGGCCGGAGCAGCAGACTAAATCCAGGGTGTGACCTTTAATGTGAGTGAGAAAATTGGCATATAGATGAAAACTGAGGCTGTCCAAAGATGAGAAGTCTGAGGGGGAGAGCCGTATTGTCCATATGAATATTAAAATCACCAAGTAAAATTACATTTGGGGAAAGGGTGGACAGATGGGATAAAAGAGCAGAGAGTTCATTTAAAAACTCAGAGCTGAACTTGGGGGGGACGATTAACAGTGGCAATTATTGTGGGGGTCGGGCCGGAGAGTTGACAGGCGAGGCATTCCAGAGTGGTGAGAGGAGGAAGGCTTACGGGAAGGACCTTCCAAGTCTCTTTTTCCAAGTCCAACAGACTGGGCTGGCACTCTGAAGTTGCAAGTACGGTATTCTGGCCACAGAAGGCGGTGGGTGTCTGAGTGACATTTCATTAACCTTGTAGAGGATCTTTTTAGCACATACTGGCTCAAGAAAATGATATAAAAATGTTTACAGCAGAATTATGCCGTACACAGCAGGAACCATCACGGCTATATGAAGGACTCGTGTTCTGGTGTTACTGAGCTCTTCTTTTTGCCCAGAATGCAGCTGGAAACCAGCGAGCAAACACAAACACCAGCCTCGTTGCTGCAGCAGCTCTGAATATGTGCAGCCGGCTCCATCGTTCTGACTGAGGGCTGCAGGGACTGGAGGGCGCTTTCTCCCAGCTTTGTGTAAACAGAATAAAAACAGTCTGTCGTGTGACCCTGCTGCCTCCACAACGAGCCTGAAGCTGAAGCAGATGAGAGGTGGCAAGCTGTTGCTTATTAACAGATTCACACTTTAGGCAAAAATGCATTTTACAGGAGTGTGTTTTAATGTCATGGTGTGCAACTCCTGATTAAGGCACCGAGGCTAATCGTGTGTTTCTGTGTGTATGTGTGTGTGTGAGGAAAACTACCTCAAATGTGTGTGTTTGCAGCACAGATTTGGGGCTCCATGACAACAGAAAGTACCTTCACAGCTGTCCACAGGCGTGAGTCCCTCTCCTCTGTTGATGGACCAGCACATCTTAGTGGGAATTCCAAAGTAGCCCATTACAGCGGTGTACATGCGGTACCAGCTGGCCAGGACCACCTGGGGAGAGGCAGAGACCACAAACATCACATTTCAAAAGGTTTTCATGCTTGTTGACTCAGGGGAAAACACTGGTGTGTTCTGACTTGGCTGCATAATGGATTGGAGTTGCTTGGATCTTGGCTACTGATTCTGAGGTGGTCCTGTAGGTTCTTTATTTTAAATGTCACGCACCAACCACAACAGCAAGATAAAGGTGGATGCGGACAGTAGGTGAGACTGAAACATGATGAGACTCTGGAAGCAGAAGGATTACCTCTGGGTAGAGATTGAACCTCTTCAGCGTGTTAATAACCAGAGGATGCTCCGTTAGACGATCGTTCATGATCTTGTGGAGGCCGCTCATGAAGGACGGTGCTTCAATAATGGTCTTATAGTAGGAATAGTACAGACCCTGGAATCAAACGCATGCAGAGCATTAAAAATGTGGAAAGCAAGAGAAATATCAGTAAAACTGCATAAATATGGAGAGAAAAGCAGAGACTAAATGAAAAAGGACAGAATCAGCAGATGGCGGCGGTTCACGGAGCATTACCATACCATACCATACCATACTATACCATACCACTTTATTTATATAGCGCTTTCAACACGGCATTACAACCATACAAAGCGCTGCACAAAAATCAAGCAAGAAAACACGAGTTAAAATAGTCAGGTAAATGGAAAATTTAAAAAGGAGCAAAGAAATAAAAACAACAGACTATTAACAGTAAAAGCAAATAAAACCAGAATATAAAAACACAAAATTAAAATTGAATTGTGTAGGAGGGACAATGGATGAGCTAAGGAGTTATGGAATTAGGGATCGAATGCGTAAGTGAAGTAGAGGGTCTTCAGACGAGATTTAAAGACGCCGATAGAGGAAGCTTGCCTAACCTGCAGTGGTAATGAGTTCCATAACTTTGGGGCACAGACTGAAAAAGCCCTTTCCCCACGAGTCTTCAAACGTGCCTTAGGGACAGTTAAGAGGAGTTGATCTTCAGACCTAAGAGCTCGAGGAGGGTGGTAGTAATGAAGGAGATCACACAGATAGGGAGGAGCTTGACCGTTTAAGGATTTGAACGTGAGAAGTAAAATTTTATAATTGATCCCGAATTTAACGGGCAACCAGTGAAGCGTTTTAAGAATAGGTGAGATGTGGTGTCTTCTTTCAGCTCCAGTCAAGAACCTTGCTGCAGAATTCTGAACAAGCTGAAGCCTAGACAAAGCCGCCTCACTGATACCGTACATTAGGCACAACACAGCAGGAGGTTTCACCTCTAACAGCATCTTTGAAACACAATCAACGTTCACACATCCACTTCAAAACCAAAATAATTTGCTGACTTTTTGTAATAGAAGGGGAAAAAATTACTAACATAAATCCTCATAACAGAAAAGCTCAATAATGCAGAGCCAGGTTCTGATAGGAATTTTTTCTGGGTGGGTGAGTCCCAGATGTTTGTGGTGTACTCACCGGTCAGAGTTCAGCTTTGCTTTCTGACTGTGTTTGTTAGTCAAACAGAAATGGTAACAACTGTCTCCCCACTGCCTCTGCAGCTCAGCCAGAATCTGTTCATGTCCTACGACCTGTTTAAAAACCTCCGTCGGGAATCTTATTGTGACCTTTGACCCAGCTCTCATCCGGGATTCTCATGTCAGTTCTCCTGTTTGCTCTTCCTTCTTCCATCTCAGGAACATTGCTAAGCTGAGTCTCATTCTGTCCCACTCTGAACTTGAGACAGTTATCCACACCTTCATCTCATCATGCTTAGACTACTGTAACTCTCTTTTCATGTGTCTGAGCAAAACCTCCCTGAACCGTCTACAGGTGGTTCAGAATGCCTGTGCTCGGCTTCTGACCAAGTCCTCCAAACACACCCACATCACCCCGCTTCTCCTCCAGCTTCATTGGCTGCCAGTCAACTTCAGAGTTCATTTCAAGATCCTGGTTCTGGTCTATAGGGCCTTACATGGACAAGCACCATCTTACATTGGCGATCTTCTCAGTCCCTACACACCCAGCAGGTCCCTGAGGTCCAGTGACCAAAGCCTACTGGTTGTGCAGCACCAGGCTAAAGACCAAAGGTGACAGATCATTTGCTGCTGTGGCCTCCCAGACTCTGGAACGATCTCCCCCTGAGCCTGAGATCTGTGGACTCTTCTAAAGCGATTCAAGATGAACTTCAAGATCAAGGAACATCAGTGTCAGATCACACCATCCGTCACTGTTTAAGCCAAAGTGGACTACATGGGAGACGACCAAGGAGGACATTGTTCCACGTGGCCAAATGTCGTCACTTAACCCTCCCATTGTTCTAATGGGTGTGACCCCGTGAGGAAAGTTGACCATTGAGCAGGGTTGAAAGTTTATCCCTTGGGTCCATGTGGCAGGGGTGAGGAGTGAGCACCACCTCACCCCTGCCATGTGGACCTCAAGGGATAAACCGTCAATCCTGTTCAATGGTCAACTTTCCTCACGGGGTCGCCCATAAAGACAGTGGGAGGGTTAAGCAACCACGCCCCTCCACGCGACCAAAAGTTTCCGCACTGCGCACCTAGGAAATTTTCAAACCACACGGATGGTCCTACGCAGAAAAGCATGGTGGACTGGCGAGAGCTCGTAGTGGCGGAGGTTCATAAGTACAGACAGCTTTGTGATTTGATCCATAAAGATCACTGTGATCAAAATATTGTTAATAATTGCTGTCAGAGACGGAAAAGACAAGGACAAAAATGTTGTAAACAGCGATTTCTACTTCTACTACGGTGTAGTGTTGGATGCATGCCATACAGCCCCATGCCGCCCCCTAGAGTCTGGGACAATATTAGCTCACAGCGGAGACAAGCTGCAAAAGGTAGGAAGGAACCGTAAACGCTGGAAGTTCCGATGCGCGTTCCATCTGCGCGTCTCATTTCCGCGCAGAATGTACATGCGTCAAGCATAAATTAAGCTTTTCATAGGCTCAGCCATGGCACTACACCACAGATGAATTCCAGAGCCACAGCTTCAAAATCACGCCCCTCCATTTACACCTGGGACGCACGGAGGCAAAACGGTCTGCACGCACCCCAGCCAGTGTTTCCCCAAGAAAATTTTCCAGCTGTGGTGATGGGGTGGGGGACAATACTCTACTGTGCATCTCGTGGTGAGCCAGGGCACATCAGCTCTATGTTCACTGACGGAAAAATGAAATATATCAAGAAATCTCTTCTTCCGGCTCTTGGAGAGTACAGATGCTTTTTTCTCCTCTCCCTCCCTCCTTATCCCAAGGCTCTTTGTCCTGTCTGTGCACTGCGCTTTCTGCATTTTTTCTGGAAACTGGAAATTATTAAAAATGGATCTAGTCAGTTGGTCTCTCAATGCGATTGACAATTTTTTTTCAACAATGAGAACGGGAGAAGGGGCTCCCGGAGGCCCCTCTGGGACAGCGCCAGCTGGATATATCATGGACTCCTGGAAAAAGTGGAATCTGTTATGCCTCTCTTAACTGTCTATAGAGGATTCTGAAGATGTTTGGATCTTCGTCGTTTTGGTGTTGGGATTCCTGCTGTTTGGCCTAAGTGGTTACCTGGCATACCGGAAAATGAACGAGCTTTCGAGGAATATTGGGTCAATCCCGGAGCTCAGGGATGGAATGCATCGTGCTGTGAACGCACAAACTCATATAATTGTCTAGATGAGGCGTAAGCTTGGAACTTTGGCTGAGATTCAGGCTCTGGCACAAAGGTGGATACCATCAAGGAGAGAGTGGATGGATCAGCACAGATTGGAATAGATTAATTACTCCATTATTGGACCTGGAGGGGTTGAAGACCAACAGAACACTAAGGCAGAGAGGAAATTATCTCTGTCTGTCCCCAAAACAATTTGTATCTGAATCTGTTGCCCTTGAAGCCTGTGAGGCTGAAGAGATAACTCCCCCCTCAGAAGAAATGTGGAATGCTGCCGTCGCTATGGAAACCCTTTCTCCCTATCCCAGCCTGGGCGGGACTGTGACCGGTGAAGGCCGTGGAACCGTATCTAGGAGTCACTGTGCTCTCTAACCCATTATCTCCCTCCCCTGTCCAAACAGAGGTGTTGAGTGCTGCCCCATGTGGCTGTACGCATTGAAGTGAGGAGAGTCCCAACCCTACCTCCCCACCTAGTGGACACCTATGTTGTGTATCGTCGGAAGTCTGTGTGCATATCTGTCTGAGGTGTTTTTCTGCATAGCAAAGCTGCCCTCTCTGTGGAGGGTAACTCTGGAGTGTCTTTTTTTCCCCATCCCCCTGACTCTATCCTCATATAAACCCTCTTGATCTATTACGGTAGAGCGACTCGGGTTGCGAATGACCACGGCCACCAATTCTTGTCATGTGTCTATGTATGTATGTCTGATCTCAGAATTGTGTGTACTGAAACTCTAACTTCCCTCTGGGATTAATAAAGTATTTTTGAATTGAACTGAACTGAATTGAAAAGAACACTGTCCCTACTGTGAAACATGGAGGAGGTTCTGTTATGTTCTGGGGCTGCTTTGCTGCCTCTGGCACAGGCTGTCTTGAATCTGTGCAGGGTACAATTAAATCTCAAGACTATCAAGGGATTCTAATGTGTTGGCCAGTGTGAGAAAGCTGCCTTGGTCTCAGTTGCAGGTCATGGGTCTTGCAAAAGGACAATGACCCAAAACACAGCTAAAAGTACCTCAGAATGGCTCAGAGGAAACATTGGACTATTCTAAAGTGGCCTTCAATGAGCCCTGACCTCAATCCTATTGAGCATCTTTGGAAGGAGCTCCTTCCAAAGCTGAAACATGCTGCCTGGGAAAGGCTCCCTTCAAACCTGAGAAAATTGGAGCAGTTTGCTCATGAGGGGTGGGCCAAAATACCTGCTGAGGTGCAGATATCGCATTGACAGTTACAGGAGTCATTTGATTGTAGTGATCGCCTCAAAAGATTGTGCAACAAAATATTAAGTTAGGGGTACCATTATTTTTGTCCAGCTCTGTTCCATGCATTTACTTTTTAAATAATTCTGTTAATGCATGGCTGAAAAGCAATGTTTCACTTTCACTGGTTAAATTTCACAGAATTTTTATATATTTTTACTTTTGCAAGATTCACATTATTTCTGTGACCATTGTGGGTTTTTCTTTCATTGACCGAAGGTTACCAACAATTTTGTCCATGTCTGTATTTTCAGGCTCACTTATTTTTTTAAATAGATAATTCTTCTTAAGAACATTTTCTTTAATTCTTTCATCTTACCTTTTGTTTTATCATTTTAACTTTTATATTCAAATCACTTAATTTTTTTAATATTTAGTCAAAAAAAAAAGAAAAACTGAATCACCTATGAAGCACACAATCTTGGAAAAACCTCATCCAATCATTGTTAATGTCCCGTTCTAAATGAATAAATCATGACCCATCCATCAAACTGTTCCTCTGCACATACCCCTCCAAGTGCATAAATCACACGCTCTCAGCATGGAACCACTGAATAGGAGATGAAGCTAGAATCGAGCCGCCAAATGTAACGGACAGAATGTTCCATTTTGTTAGTAAAATTTCATTACAGGAGTTGTTTTACATGTCCCGTGTTGAGTCTAGTTTAGATTTACATTTAGGTGATGGACCTGTTGTCTGTGAACGCAGCCTGTCCTCTGTCAGCTGACAGAGTTCACTGTTTGTCGCCTAACTCGTGTGCGTGTGTGTGTGGAGGGGGGTTGGGTTGGGTTCTGGAAGTTTTGACCTATTGCTCATAGGATTTTCCAGATTGTCAGTAATTTTGAGCTGCTGTGAGTTTGAAATTAAAAATGAAACAAGAAAGCTAAAAACTGCCTCGTTTTTCAGCGTGACTACTACAAGCTGTTTGCTGGCTTACTAAACAGTTCCACTGTTACGTAGGTGTGCTACGATAGGATTTATGGCAGATAAGGTGTCGACAACAGGTTGACAACCTAAATCTGAACATTCAGGCAAACACGTTGCACCTTTCCAGTATCCGAGAGGTGCAGCTCGAGAGGGAAGCCTGGAGAAAGGAAGTTGGACCTTTGAATTGTGCATTTTTCATGAATATTTGATCCTGTGAACAACAAAGCAACTAACTTTACCACACCCCACCTTACCTTACTTTACATATGGCATAGAGTAGCCTATTACTTCCAGTAATAAGTTTCAAAGAAACGTTTGTAATACATTAGTGACAAAAACAACTGTGTACCATTTCCGTACGAAAAGCCATTTCCTTTTCCAGGTTGGACAGATGAGAAAAATGCCTGTCATTCTCAAACAGCTGGAAGAGGTGATGCCTGTTATGGAAGGAAAAGAAAATGAGCCAAAAGTAAATAAAGGCTATTTCTATGCAGTGCTGGTGGATCATCTTACCAGTGCAGATATCCAGACAGAGCAGCTGCGGGAAACAAAACAAGAAACTTTCACCGCTGTGTAAAAACGCTTCTTCATCTCATCTCTGACAGGAGCGATGAGGAAGGGGAACAGGAACTCCAGCATCCCCAGTTAAATTAGGACATTTGTCCACAAATGAATGAGAAGCAGTAATGCTCTTTAGCTTTAAAATGGATATCCGAGAGTTAACTTTGCCTGAAAACCTGTTAACACGTGTCTAACTGATGTTTGTAGCTAAAGCAGAAAGAGTAAGAGGTTCCTTAGGTCAGGTAACCAACGCTGGTGAGCTAGCGATTGGGTAAGCTAACGTTAGCCTCGTGATAAGTAACGGAGATAACTAACGGAGATAGTAAAAGGTACTAGTTTACCAGCGTTAGCCACCGTTAGCTTGCAGCAGGCTAAAGCTCCAGACTCACCGAGGAGAACAGTGACTCCCAGCTTCACAACAGAAGAGGAAGTGATTCCAAGCTTGTGTCCGATGACTGAAAGCCCGTTCGGGTGAACGCCAGGCTTTCCCTCCTTGCCTGCGCGCCTAATGTTGCTTTTGCTGTGGGGAGAGGCATGGGGGACGTTCTTGTCACGTTCTGTCTGGGTCGCTGGGCTCTTCCCGGTTTGCTTTCTGCTTTTAGCCACCATGATGGCCAGAAACGCAGGCGTTTAGGGGAGCGAGTTGAGTGACCAGAGGGGTGTGAGCTAAACGGCTCCACCGCCGCTCCTATCTATCTGGTCCTTGAATCTGCCTAACTACCTGAGTGATGCTGACTGATTCCTGCTAGAAATGTAGTCACGCCGTGCCCCCTGTCGGTAGGTCAGTGCTACTACAGCAAGCGTCTAACTGTAACCATGACAACGCCAGTGATGAGAATGATGGGGTGAGCCTTCTTCTTCTTCTTCTTCTTCTTCTTCTTCTTCTTCTTCTTCTTCTTCTTCTTCTTCTTCTTCTTCTTCTTCTTCTTCTTCTTCTTCTTCTTCTTCTTCTTCTTCTTCTTCTTCTTCTTCTTCTTCTTCTTCTTCTTCTTCTTCTTCTTCTTCTTCTTCTTCTTCTTCTGGCAGAGAATAAATAAATAAAATAAACTGCACTGACATTGATTACCAACACCATCAACATTATATACGTGACAAATATTCAGAGTAGAAAATTATTTAAAAGGTGAAATAAAGCACACACAAATAACATGATTTTTTAAAAATTGACATTCTTGCAAGGTCAAAAAAGGAACAAGGGTACAAATAGGATTAGGGATGCACCAACATGAAATTTTTGGGCCTATACCGATATCCGATATTAATATCACTGTAATGGCCGATAACCAATATTTGCCGATACGATATATAGACATTAATACTTCTAAAAGCAGCAGATTAGGTATAGAATGAAAATGATCAAAGCTGAATTTACATTGTTATGTACAGACACAACAAACATTTACGCTTTTGAGATGATCACATTCACTGTCACGCGACTAAACAAATACACACCACCACCTTCACCCTCTGAAACAGATAAACAAATGAAAACAAGATGGAAAAAATATCGGTTGTTAATATCAGCCCAGTTTTATCTATCGAACCAATACCAATATGTTACAAAATGACTAACATCGGCCGATACCGATATTGATGCTGATATATTGTGCATCCCTAAACAGAACATATTAAATGCATAATCTATTTTGTGGTTAAAAAAATCTAATCTATTAATCCCCAAATATAGAATTAACGTCACAACAACTTTGTGGGAGTAAACATAACCCTTTATAGACAAATGCATTACCAAACCTCTATCTTCTGTCTCAAGCAACCACAAAGAAAGTAAACAAATAGTCGTAAACCTATTAAACAAATAGATACACCGAGCCATAAAATATAAACAACAGAATATAAAATACTATATAAGAAATGCTACTTACCTTGAAAGAATGGTTGCCCTTACTTTCAATAGATACCCTTCTCCTATACTTTTGCTAGGAAAAACATGATGCATTACCAAAATCGGCCAGCAGACAGCAGTAAAAGAGCACAATAGGTCCAGTCGTTGTTTTACTGTAATAAATTACCTTTTGTGACATAAAAACGTTTTTCTTCAGTTAGATCTTTATTTGGCAACAGCTGCATATTCCTGCTACAAATTCATAATTCTCTGCCTCAATCGATTACCCATCTGGTCATCAAAATAATGAATTGCAATTGTTTTAATAGATTACTGTGCCGTGTGGGAAGAGTCGTGCTAAAAAGTTTGGTCACAGACTCAGATGATGCAGCAACAAGGACACAAATGTAAAATGACTTAATCTCATTGTTTAGCTTGGACGGGGAAGTGGCCTGCCCTTTGGTGACATCATGACATCTTCCTCAAACTCTACCAACAATCCTTTCCCACTGATGATGGCAGCAGGAGGGTCAGGAAACCAGGCAGATTGGTAATGAGTTACATCCTGATTTGTGACTTGAGAGTATTTTAACACCCACCATTGCTCCTTGTTGGTGCACTTGGTAGGTCTGCTGCCCTGCTGCCAGAAGAGTGTGGGTTCAAATCCCAGGTGTGTCCTTTCTTCTTGTGAGGGATACCTCAAAATACTCTTTTACAGGCCAAAAAACACACATGTTAGATTGATCTATATGCCACTTTGGAGAGCATTGCCTGCAAAAGTCCTAATCACTAAAGCTATTTTTTTGGTATTAATAAAAATATAAGAACATAAATTATCCAATTTTCTCAATTATTAACTATGTAAATATTGAAGGAAATGAAAACTCAAAGAAACGTTGAAGGTATCAGCTTATCTTTGGTTTCATTAGCAGTAAAAAAAAGTATTGAGACAGTAAGTAAAAAGTGTAAAATACCATAAATGAGCTGATCCGTCTCATTTGTCTGCAACATGTGTCTCTATCAACATGCCCTTCTCGCTGTGCTGTTTTAGCACCGCAGCCTTGTCTAAACAGGCGTTCTCATAGCCCACACACATCTGACACTGTGCTTATTGTTACAGCGTCCGCAGCAGTTGGTGTTGGAACCTCGTGCGTTGGTGCCTTCACCGCTCCTTCTGTCCAAAGCCAACCCCAGAAACCACCAGCACATGTGGACATCACATTGGATGAAAATCCTTCCCTGCTTGCCTCGTCTCTCATCATCCCTCCCACCAGAAGCCAGCTTCTCTCCCTTGCCCTACTGAGACGTTATTTTCTTAAACTCCCCACAGAATCCGGACAGCCAGGCCGAGCCAAAACACAATAACTGTGACTGAGTGGCCGCCTGACTGTCAGAAACACAAGGTGTCGCTGGGTTAGGGGGTTTTGGTGAAGGACGAGCCACTGAAAAGTGTTGGGCGAGTTTGTGATTACACTGAGGGAATTTGTTTTTTCAGCAAACACGGAATGTGACTTTGGGCTGACGACACTAAGATGTTTGGAACGATACCTGATGCTGTAGTTCTGTGTAATGCACCACCTGCTAATTAGAGACATCTGGCCTGCAGTAAAGGAAAGGAAGGACAAATTCAGCATGACACTATAATTGAGTGGAAACTGTGTTTGGACCAAAATGCAGAAAGCTTCTTTAAATTTGAAGCTTCCTTAATGTTTGCTAAAGCTTTCCACCAGACAAGGCTGCTGCAGCTGTGTGAACGTCACGTTAACTTGCTCTGATCAAAATAAAAAACGCAATTGTTTCTGTTTTTATTCACAAATCCACCCGGAAGTGAGTGTTGGTTTCCAAGTGAATAAAATAGTTACTATGTTTTGAGTCACAACTTCCTATAATTTGACATTTAAATTTAATATTACAATCAAATCTCAGTCAATAGTCTTCCTAAAAGTTTTTATTAGCTGTTTTTTTAAAATATTATTTTAATTTCTGTCTTTGAGTAGAATTAATTCAGTCCTGTTAGTTTTTGTTTTATTTATGTGACACATGGTCATGTAAACACTCAGCCCTCCCCTCGGGTATTTTCCCTGAGACGCTTCTGCCAGAGGAAATGAGAGTGAGAGCTAAACACCAGTCGCCATTTTTAGGTCCAAACGTCTTTTGTTGTCTGCGACTTCAAATGATGTTTTTCTTTTTGGGACTCGGGTACTTTGTCCTCTCATACCAGTGGTGTTTTATTGCTAAATATGTGCGTGTGTAATGACCGGAGGACCCAAAGAAGTGTGATGGTTCAGCAAGACCAACAACTGAACGGTTCAGTGGTTGCTTTCCGTCTGAAACGTGCTTTTGGTTTTTAGACAAATGTGAGAGAAACACATTTGTTTCTATTTTTTTTATTTTATTCTCCACAACATATTTACAGCTGTAGTATGTTAGAACGTTGTTAAGAGGCAAGAAAAAATGTATTAAGCTAATTCGTTTTCCTAATTTGCTAAAGCAGCTTTAAAGTGACTGTGTCACAATGTGCCGGTGAGTGAGACGGAGGTGAGGATCCAAGTGCAGGGGAAGAAACAGGCAGAGAGGCAGACAGGAACATTTAAAACACTGATTTAATGGAGGACACGCAGGACAATGAAACAATGAGCCAACCAGACAAAATGGACTAACAGGGTTTAAATACAGGAGGAGCTGGGACCTTGGGTGATTGGGAGACGAGAGGCAGGCGGGAGCAATTAACATGGACACAGGACTGAACACAATGGGGAGACAGGACAGGGTGTGACAGTACCCCCCCTCAAAGGGCGGATTCCAGACGCCCACAGGAACATAGAGTAGGGCGAGAGGAGGCGGACCCGGAGGGAGGGCCGAGAGGGACCGACGGACCGACGGAGATGAGGCAGGGACCAGTAGAGTCCGGGGGCCTGCGCCTGGGGCAGAGGAGGCAACGACAGGCTCTTGGGGGCCTGCACCTGGGGCAGAGGAGGCAGCAACGACGGGCTCTTGGGGGCCTGTGTCTGTGGCAGAGGAGGAGGTGAGGACGGGCTCTTGGGGGCCTGCGTCTGTGGCAGAGGAGGAGGCGACGACGGGCTCTTGGGGGCCTGCGTCTGGCGAGGGCAGGACCGGCGGCGACCGGAGGCAGAGACGCTGGAGGAGACGTCCTTGACTTTTGGACTGGAGGCGGCGGCGACGACCTCTGGACTGGAGGCGGCGGCGACGACCTCTGGACTGGAGGAGGCGGCGACGACCTCTGGGCTGGAGGCGGCGGCGACGACCTCTGGACTGGAGGAGGCGGCGACGACCTCTGGGCTGGAGGCGGCGGCGACGACCTCTGGGCTGGAGGCGGCGGCGACGACTTCTGGGCTGGAGGTGGCGGCGACGACCTCTGGGCTGGAGGCGACGTCGACCACAGGACTGGAGACGGCATCGACCACTGGACTGGAGATGACGTCGACCACGGGACTGGAGACGGCGTCGACCACGGGACTGGAGACGGCATCGACCACGGGACTGGAGACGGCGTCGACCACTGGACTGGAGACGGTGTCAACCACGGGACTGGAGACGGCGTCGACCACGAGACTGGAGACGGCATCGACCACAGGACTGGAGACGGCGTCGACCACTGGACTGGGGACGGCGTCGTTGGACTGGAGGGGACGTCGAACTCTGGACTGGAGGGGACGTCGACCTCTGGACTGGAGGGAGCATCGACCTCTGGAGTGGATGAGGCATCGACCTCTGGAGAGGATGAGGCGTCGACCTCTGGAGTGGATGAGGCGTCGACTTCAGGACATGGGGATGCATCGACTTCAGAACACGAGGAGGCGTCGACTTCAGAACACGAGCAGGCGTCGACTTCAGCACACGAGGAGGCGTCGACT